GTTAATAAAAATAATCCTTGGTTTAGGAAAACTTACAAAATACATTGTTAAACTGATAAATATATAGACCAGTTGGAAAAATATAATTTGTATATCAGAGGTAATTTTAAGCAACATTATTTCTGTAATTCCATATTTTATGGATGAGATCGATTAAAGGGGTAACATATTTGCAGTATATCGGAAGTAAAATTTGATAAACGAATTCAACTACGTCAATATCGAATAAAATAAATTCTGGAAAAAAAATAAATTATAGGGTTGTATTCCATATTCTGTTGGATTGATCTGATATCGGCCGGGGTCATATAATTCCAACGATTGGTCGGACAATTAAGTCGATACCTGCAATCTTGTTTTATACAAAATAGACATTAGGGTACTTTTGTATTGAAATTATGCTGTAAAGTTAAAATACATACAAACAATGTTTTATTTTATGAGAGAAAGTCAAAGGACAATGAGAAGAATTCAAAATTTAATTCAAACCAATGCAATCATGCTATTAGAATGTTAGAAAAGTTTTTGCTTCGTTTCCACATCTTAGTATCCAGCTGTATTGTTCATGAAAGATGAGATTAAGATGTAATGTTCACCATGATATATGGGATATTCTATAAACTAGCAAGAAAGGTGTTTCGTAAAGGAAGACTTCGGTTGACAAGGGCATTGTTTTCTTTTGTACTAGAAAAATTTGCTTTTGCTTTTAACATTGGATAATAAATCTTAGTTTAAAGCACATTTTTTTTTAGAATTACAAGCATGATCAATAAACATACATTTGACAAAAATTAAACGGGATTTGGAAAAAAGTTAAAAGCATATTTATCCGACTCCTTATTACCGAGTATTTGTTTTTGTAAATAACACTTAATTCCTTTTTCGTTGTTCAGAACAAGGTTGAAACTATAAAAAAAAAAGGTTCTTTTTATTTTATAGGCCTATGTAAGATTTTTTTTTTTGGGGGGGGTGGATTTCAAGGGGGGAAAGGATACGATAGATAACTGTTTATGAATATCTGGATTTTTTGGGGGGTGGGGGGTTACGATATTAAAAAATAAATACACTTAGTATAAACTAATACAGGATGAAGAGTAATTATCCCAAAATGCATGGGTCCCAAAAGATCGTGTGTGTTTGTTTTTAAACAAGGTGTTAATCGTTTTTCTGTGTACTAATCTTGTGACTAAAATTGGAGAATGAATGTAAAAATCATGAACACATATATTTAGAACACGAGAGGACAGCACCCACGACTATTTGTCCGATTAAATGCAAACCGTGCCCCTCTCCTTCTTACATATCTGCTGGTTGCATTTGTAATCTACGTGCATTTTTTTTTTTTTTTTTGGTGAAATATCAATGGCTTAATTCATTTTACTGACAACGGGAGATCGAGGGGATAACAAAAATTATTACACACTTATTTGGTTCTTATCCATTTTTAAAATGAAATTTTCACTCTTCTTTTTTCAACAAATCCTGACTTTGTTCCTTTAAAATCGGGGATAATTGTAATAGTATTTTGGTGGGAAAATGAATTCCTTAGGTTTTGAATTTTTTGAGGTAATGTTATAATAGACAGAGAATTCTTGTATCATTTAGACTCTGCTCAAACAAACAGTTTTTTATGCGACTTTTTGGCAGGCGCATACACTACAGTACGATGTCACTGTGACATTTAAAGGCCAAAATTGTCCAATATATATTTGAGGTCGATGACATTTACATATATATAATTCCGCAACAGAGTATTTGTGCATACATGTATTTACATGTGTTTGTAAAGTCTTTAAACATGATACCACGACAGAAAGTAAAATACGCATAGTAGCTCTCATGCTTCGTAATTTATAGATTTCATGTAAGCTCAGATGGTTAATTATAGAAAATCCAGGTAATGCCAAAAAACTAGCATTTTAAATCCAACCATATTTTATCAGTACATGTACATACAGAACATGTAAAATCTCTTGCTAAATGTTATCCTTTTAAAATGTACTATTTATGTACATGTCATGTTCAGTAATGGAACTGTGCGTTGGGTCATACCCAGCGGTTCTTCGCGAGGTATATGTTGCGATATCATTGCCATGGAGAAACATAGAGAGAATATGAAACCTGTCTTTGGTCTTAACATTTTACATGTAATATGCAGCATGCACGGATTCCGAAACCCCACCCCATCCCTGGAATTTGCGGGATCCTGGATACGCACCTGTGCAGGTGTCCTAAAAGCCAAGGATTGATGCCTGTAAGATTTCTTAATTTTAATTGTACTTAAATAAACTGTAATTAGTCTCTGACAATATATATTTCCTCGAATAGGGTTTGGGGTCGTGTTTCAAAGATAGAACTTGCTCTGCTCATCAATCTGTCAAGAAAATATAATAGGATCAGGTATACATGACTGTGATAATTTCTTGAAATATTCGACAGGGGAGGGGGGGGGGTTCGACGTAAAGTGGGTAAACGTACATATGTCGGGGAAATGGTTTGATAGTGTCCGGATAATAAAAATCATTCACACACCCTACATTTGTCTATATTAATGGCAAAGAAACTTCATCTTTGCTTTCGAATTCAAATCAAAACCAGAGTCAAATTTGCAAGCAGGATTCTTTTTTCTTTTTTTTTTTTTTTTTTTCTTTTTTTTTTCCAGTGTCGGACAGATTAAGTAATAATGAAAAATGACATTTTGTAATTTAAAAAAATAGAAAATTATATTATTAAAAGATAACGCCATTTTCTCTCTGAATGTGGGGTTATTTTCATTTGATCTGTATAGGAAATGTTATAAAAACATTTTATTAGTATAACTTGACAATATATATATATATATATATATATATATATATATATATATATATATATATATATATATATATATATATATATATATATATATATATATATATATTATAATGAACTTTTACGTATGTTCTTATTTCACAGTTATAATAATATGAAAAAGTATTTTGATTGCTAATTTAAGAATAAATCAAATGCACGATAAAAAGATACATGTGCATATATTATAATGATTAAATAAATGTGTTACTGGCTTATTTAACTTATATTTAAATGCAAATGCTTTTAAATTATTCAATCTTTTTCTCAAAAAATGCTGTGAAAATGTAATAATACAAAAGAAAATCTCGATAAAAATATAGAGTAATAACGCAACATTTATGACGTCGCCAAGGACATATATGTCCCTCCCGCAGCGAACGGTAAAAGGACATATATGTCCTTCCCGCAGCCAGAGGGTTAAGGAATGTTTTTAAGTTTTGTGTGAGTTATTGGTGTGTAAATCACACAGACTTGTCACGCGCTTCATGAAAAATATGCCTACGTGCAAGTCTGTGTGATTTACACACCAATAATTCACACTAAACTTAAAAACATCCCTTATATTTACATTTTACAACTTTAAAAACACCAATAATATACTCAATATTTGAATTTCTTGCTGCCCTATATCGTTACATTTTTATTAACGTCTCTGTAGCCTCATTGTGACGTCACTTTAGCACGAGTTTCACCGTGTATATTTCTACGCGTGAGTATACACAAAAATGGCTTTCAAATCAATTTCACAGTTGGCTTAGTAGAAAAACACAGCAAATGTAAATATCAATAAATGATTTATGTTCACCATCAAACTTAATTCTGTCACAAATAGATTCAAGATGTCCAGTTTACAATATAACCTATAAACAATCGGATTCTTCTCTAGTGAGTGAGATACTGTATACGTCAGTACGCTTAGATCATCGTCAAAGTTGCACATCTGGCTTCATTCTTCGTATAGCCAAAAGATTTTGGGGGTTCGTTTTTAATGTCACATGTCATCGCTTCAAAACCTATAGTTTATCAGCATTTGCTTAGATAAATACTGTGAATATAAATAGATTACAAATGCAATTGAAGGACAATTGAATAAGCATCATTCAAATTAGCATAAAAAACAATGACTGTAAACGATAAAATAGGTCTCTCATGACAGGTCTCTGTTTTCCTGACAAAATCATGAAATGAAAATGTATTTTTTTTATCTTTTTCCAGGGAAACAAAAAATCCTAAGGTGATATTTTATGAAGGAGGGATTGTTGTTTTATGGAGTAGAAAAATATGATAAACGCACAGAATCCATATATTAGTCACCGCGCGTGTACTAGTATTCGGTTACTAGAAAATACATTTTCCATGTTCCCTTATGAAAGCTTTTGTTATAGATATCATTGAAGTGAAACCATTTCATAGCTTGTACGAAATCGTGACATTAACCTTACAGCTTTTGGCCTCAAAGTTTTCTCAAATTACAGAGCGTCAACAACTCAAGTTTTATTCCAAAAGCGCAAAAAATAATATATATATATATATATATATATATATATCATCTGCGCAAAATATGCATTTCTGACCTTGACCTCTGATTTTTTGACCTCAAAATCATTAGAGGACTTTTTCAAGTCATAGAAAGTAAAGATATGAAATTTCATTGCAGAAGCTAATTAAAGGACTTGTAGAGATATCATCCAAAGACATAAGTGTAACACATAGACAGACAGACAGACAGACAAACAGATAGACCCAAATTAACATGCCTCCCTTTAAAGTGAAAGCGAAGAACAAGAAATTCCGGAGAACTGAATTGTCTACAGAATGAAGAACAGCTACACTGCGCAGACATCAACAACTCTTAACGCGTATACATCTTCGGAAGAGCATATAAAAATGGGACCTGCATGTTTTAAGCTTTTTCTCAGTAAAGAATGGATAACTTGACCTCCACTTTAAATCTAGATAATGGGATCAAACCCAAAGATCGGCGTTATTCAAATGATTACTTATTTTATTAACACAATTAATCAAAACCAGAGACTCTTGTTTGATAAACATTTAAACCTAAATGCTCTACACTGTATTATATTGAATTTATAAATATAAAAACAACCATTTAAATATACACGTACAATACATCACAACTACAAATAATAACTGCGTATGAACATTTTAAAAATATTTGCAAACAAATATTGAAGATTTGCATACATTTCATGCACATTACTGTAAAATTTTAATACATTGACAAATAAGTTCAGGCACCTTTGACGAAATTAAAACTATATTAATATACACGCATGAACAAATATTGAAGATTTCTTGTACATGTACCGAAAATTAGTTTTATACATTGACAAAATTCAACAATTAATTCAACAAACACACAGTTTTATGAAGTAAATACGCATGCACATCTTAAAATTACCAAGCCTAAATACATGTTTATCACAATTATTTGAAATACCAGTGCGTGCTGTTGATCAACGTCGTCTCATTTTTAATGCTACAACCTCTATATAGATGATGCTGGGTGGACGTCATCCTCTTGAAGACCCGTATGTTGATTTGGTTGACTTATCACTGACGTACCCTGGTACAGGAAGATGGACATTGTTGACCCAGAACTCGTGGTACTGGCTCAGCCTCCCGGAGTCTATCATCTTGTCTATGTCAGCCTCAGCAATAGACTGTTCCATTTCTTCTGTGGGTGAATACTCCCAAAGCCGTAAAATCGGCTTCTCATTGGTCAAATGTAAACACAATACACACATTTTCAGTGAAAATGGATCTGCCAGACCATTCTGTACAATTAATGTTTTACAGAATGCCAGTTCAGCAAGGTCAAGGGGTCGAAGGCTGTCCATTCCTGTTACTTTTACTGCAACTGCGCACATACATCCATCTCGCTGACATAGAGCATCCACTTGGCCACTGAGCACGCGCACGAAGTTCGACACCTTCACATGACCCGTTAGTTTCACCGCGGCAGCTTCAAAGCCATCGAACCAACTACAGATCTTTTTCTCAAATAAACGGCAAAGATGGTTACAGAATCCAGAAAAGGAATCACTGTCCGCTTCTTTGACTTGACCAAATGCGTCCGCGGCACCTTTTCTATAGAATAGGGACATCATGGAGGCATGAAATTGCTTTCCTTGATCCTCCCGAGACACATTATGGAGAAAATCCTGGTACTTCACTCGTATTTTTTCGTGTTTGTTGAGGTCCAAACGACAGGCCTCCTTCCGGTTTAGGAAGGACTCCCAGCAGTCTCTCCTGGAGGGATTGTAGGTCGCGCACACTCGATCCTCCCCTAATGCTTCCACCGTCATAAAAATCTTCATTGTAGAGAAGTCGTAGATCCGAGAGAGCTTCTCAAGGCGACGTTTGAGCTCATCGTCATAACGGAGTATTGAAGATCCAATGACCGACATGTTGTATTGCTTAATTAAAGCGCTTCCTTGTCTAAATTCTGATTAAAATTGCGAACTAATATATCCACATTGTAAACACGTCGTCAATTTAACGAAATCCATTCTTCTGTGTTCATCAATAACTGAGACAAAAAGAAAAATTGATTGTGTTTTTAGATTGCAGTATATCCAAGAGAAGAGGGTGGAATATCAAAATAAACAAATCACAATAACAGTACTGAATTCCACTTAAATCTGGTCGATATTGTGACGTTATCGATCTCCCATCGTATTCCAATACCCTGAAGTTCGATCACCGGATGACAAGACGTGTTCAGACACCTGTATTGATTTTTTTGTCATTTACCTATATTAGTGATCAAATACGTGAATATTCGGTCCGCTTCCATGGTTTGATAGGTACACTTAAAAATGCTAAACAGAGGTAGTGTTGTCGCTGACAATTACAGAACCCCTCCACTAAGGGAGATTTAAATCCAGAGATCTGCCAGGGAATTCCTAATGACATTCGTTTTTATTGTTGTTTTCGATTTAATAAAATCTGACGGTTAAAAACCAGTCCTCCATTTTGTTTAGAATTTAGGGATCAAGTTCGGAAAGATAACGATTTCTGAGCAGAAGGGGCGTGGTAGTTCCACTGCATACAGATGGTTCTTAATGGAAGTCAGATATATTATTTTTCATTAAATCATGCTATAATATATTCTATTCTATTCATGACTGTCTGCTCCAGACAAAAATCAATATTTTGCATTATAGATGTTTACATTCATAAGAAACATTAATTATGTTGACATGCACAATGGCCTATAGCTGTCAAGGGTTCTTTTGCGCGTACTTTGGTGAAAATTACATTAAACAGTTATTTCAATAATTAATATATGCTTTGTGAGCAAAATCTCTCGAGTACGTAGATATGAACTAGCGTGTTTATATTGGAAAGAGAACTGGAAAGGTAGGGTAGTAATGAACAGCAGAAATAGGAGCTGATCCAGGATTTTTTTCCGCGGGGGGGGGGGGGTTCAGTTATTTGCTTCAGTATATACTTTTTATATACTTTTAAGTATAAGTTTATTAAGTACTTTTTTTATTCTTATATACTTTTCAGTATTATACATTTACTTTTTTTTGGCAAATTCCGGGGGGGGGGGGGGTGATCCGGACCCCGACCCCCTCTAGATCCGCCCATGCACAAAGCATGCCAAATTTGGAAACTTCTTTTTAAAAAAGGTTAAAATCACGGTGATCTGCAGCTGATGCCATCAACTGAAAACTGATTATCTGATAAAGAATAAATTAGAGAGGTTATCTTGTGCACTGTTGTCTCCAAAATGTGTGTCAGAATTGTACGAGGACAAATACGTGTGAATAAAAATTAAAGGCAGTTGAGATCGCCATGCAACGAATTGAACATGTTTCATTTTTGGGAGCATAATATGAAAAGCCGTAGGGTACCCCCACATTATTATTATTTTTTCCTATACAAATAAAACAAAAATAATTCTCTCAACCAAAATAAAAAAAAAATCTTGCTTTTTTACAACATTATTATTTTCCTGCAACAATTATAATCTTGTCTGTCAAATATTTACACATTATTTTTATTCTGCCTTAAAATCATAATTATTATTCTCACTTAACAATTATAATCTTGTCAGTAAATGTGTACACATTATTTTTATGTTGCGCTTCCAAATTATAATCTTGTCAGTCGATTTGTACACATTATTTTTATGTTGCACCAAGATTATAATTATTTTTACTTCAACAATTTATAAGAATGCATCCCTGTAACAATAATATACTGATTGAAAATAAGTAAAAATGTACACACTTAAAAAAATTAATTTACCAAATCGTTTTTATAATATTTGCAACAGTAATACCTAGGTCACATTTAAGCCGATGGTTGGGCAACCAAATGGACGCTCAAAGTTTTACATAGGAATACATAGAAAAATTCTTTTAAAAACTTCTTCTCAAGAACAGCAAACCCAAAATTAGTCATACTAATATAAAAGCATTCGCTGCTAATGTAGATTCAAATTTGTGCAAATCATGACCCCCATAGAGCAGGGAGGGGACACAACAGGCGGCCAAAGTTTAACTAGGAATGTAAATGGGAAAGATCGTTAAAAATCTTCTCAACAGCGAAACTATGATTAGTCACATAATACAGAAGTTCGTCTGGTAGTGTAGATCAATATTGTTCAAATCATGAGGTCCAGGGGTAGAGCGGGGCCACAATAGAAGATAAAACTTAGGGCCCTGTCACAGCAAGCTGCGTCCACGTGGAGTTATTACGGCGTTGTTAAATTTTTCAAAATCGCAGTGGAATCGCAGGGAAATTGCAGAAATTTCTGTAAAATTTTCACAATGTGAAGATGTCACGGCGTCCCTACGGCGACCCAGGCGTTTCTACGGCGTTCTTGCGGCGTGCTACAGCGTTCCCACGGAGATCTCTTTTCGATTGACTGCTCTTCCGCGGAGCTTTCACGGCGTGTTAGGAGTTGTCGCCTCGCGTTCACGGCGTTCTCACTGCGCTGGCTGCGTTCACAATGCGTTCTTCAGAAGGACTGTGACACTTTTTTTAATAAAGATTCAAGTTACATGATGAAAAGACTTCTACTTATGCCAAGAAATATTCTTCAATTAAAAATGATCTATTTGAATAATTCAGTACTAATTATTGATAGTTTTATTATTAAAAGCTTTCTTTTTTCAATGATATCAATATTCAGATGTGTTTTTATCTTTCCTTTGATTTTATTATGAATATAAAAAAAAATAAACACACTGAAAAGTTGTAATAGAATTTAAGTAATTCCACCGCCACTCCACTGAAACAACAGAATAAGTTCTGGTGTAATTTTTAATTCCCAATTCTACTCCCATGCTCCTCGTCAGGAGTGCAACAAAAACGTAAAATTATTGCTGATCAAATATGACGCCATTGCTCTTGTTTTTCCAGCTGGCTGACAACGCTCTAACAACGCCGTGAAAGCGCATTGTGATCGCATACGGACGCGGTAGAAATGCCAAGGGATCGCAATGATCGCAATGACACCTCCTTGTTGTGGCTGTGTAATCGCAGTCAAAAAAATCACAAGACGAATAATCTCGCTAGAAGCGCCGTAAAAGGACGATAGAAACGCAGTGACATCTCCAAGGACTCCGCGATGTCTCCGTGGAAGCGCAGTCTACTATCACTGCGTTCATGCTGCGATCATGTGCGTCTTCACAGCGTGCGAACGGAGCCCCCACTGCGTTGTTAGAGATCTCACCGCGCTGCTACGGCGATCGTACTACGTTTCTACTGCGTTCTTATCAGACGGCGATCACACGGCGCGTACTTTGTGCATGTCCAAAGTGCGCGCCGTCCCCTGGCGTTCTAGGAAACCCTTCGCGACCCTACCGCGTTCAGTGAAGATCTCGCCGCGTTGCCACGGCGCTGTTGGAGACTCTACTGCGCTCACCTCGGCGTTTTGCATTTTTTATGGACGCCGTGCGATCGCTGTGAGGACGCAGTCCCGGTGTGACAGGGGTTTTAGGGCGGGATCTTTAACAATCTTCTAAATTAAGCCATGATTAGTCAAAGAAATATGGAAGCATCATCAATTAGTGTAGGTTGAAGTTCATTCAAATAATACCCCCTAGCTCCCCTTAGGATTAGTTTGAGACCACTTATAAATTTTAAACTTCTCAATACTGAACTCGTAGCCAAAGAGCTCAGGTGAGCAATGTCACCCATGTACCTTTTGTTTGAACTTGGTCATTTCTATGCAAAATATCCTTAAAGATTTTGTTGTGATGTCACCTTCTACAGTTTTCAGATAAGAAAGTTTTATGATTGACGTTATACTTCTGTGGTCATTTAATATGCATTTAGAGTCACCAACATAAGATTCTATTTTCCTTCTATAACATTACCAGCTTTATGCGATAGTATCTGACAAATAAAATCTATATGTGGATATACATTATGTTTTCTTTCTTGTCCCATACTTTGCCTATAAAGATGTGGTATAAAATTGTCAAAAGACATTTAAATATTAAAAAAAGAAATTGCAGGCAAGTTACAAAGGATATAATGAGAAAAATGGTTTTTTTTTTTTTTTTTTTTTTTTTTTTTTTTTTTTTTGACGAAGGGAAATAACTCTTGCAAATGGAAACTTTTTATTCATGAAAGAAATACAAGTTCTGTTCACACAAGGAAAACCAGGTTTGCTGTCATATTGAGAGCCTTCCACGTGTCATACTTATCATGAAAAAATTAGCAGGAAAAAAATTCTCAATCCAACCCCTTGATTATGCATGATAATTATAAAAACTTTTATTGTGTTTTGAACTTTATTTTTCAGGATTTAGGAACCACTAATTTGATGTTGGGAGTTTCAACTTCACCCTGGCAGACTTTGAGCATATCATGTATTTTAGACATATGGACAAAAATCTTACAATGAGAAGATAAGTAAGGAAAACACAGCCTAGATAAATTTCAGAGAATTCTTGATAGAAGAGTGTGGAGGTCTGGACAAAAAGTTCAATGTGAATAACTTTGAAGAAAGAACAGTCTCGGCAAATTTCAGAGAATTCTGAAGAATACATGTGTTGTTCCTGAACAATTTGTACATGAAATTTGTCCTTTTGACATCATTTGACACTCCATTTGAAGTGATGCATTTTTGATAAATTTGTATATGACATATGTCCATTTGATACTCCATTTAAAGTGTCACATCTGTGTCTCATATTACGTCTGGTGAACTGGAATCTGGTTCAGTTAAAAAAAAACTTTAATTTTTGCATTATATTGATTGCATTTATTAAATTTGTATTTATCAAAGTAATTGAGGCAATTGCTATTTGAATATTTTGCAAATATTTTCTTTGCCATTTTTCTTTTTCTGAAAGTAATTTGCACATATATATATATATATATATATATATATATATATATATATATATATATATATATATATATATATATATATGTATATATATATATCCTTGTTTGTGAAATCACTATGTGAAAATTACGTCAATATCATAGATGACTTGTGACAAAAAAATGGTTGACTCAGTCGTACTCGATCAACAATTAACGGCTTTAAATTTTAACGCATATCTTGGAAATTCGTCTGCAGTAGCATATAATAATTTGTACAATGTTTATGAAGACAAAAGACTTGCTAGAAGTTTTATCATTGATTGGATTTATTGTTTTAGTGAAGGAAGGGAGATGGTTAAAAATTATGTTTGTTCTGATGCCCAGTGAAAATAAGCTGGAGAAGAGATGTGTCCTTAGTTGAGCAAATTGTTGTGAAAGATCGCCAAGTTACAGATAGAAAAAATAGTTTGAATATGTTAACAATAATAAAATTAAATATAATTATTAAATCCCTAAAATATTGTTTACTTTATACTTAAAACATATCAGATATGATAAAAAGAAGGCGTCTATACTTTATCCACAATGGATAAACGATACACCCAGGACAAAGGAGTCGGGTTGTGATGGTCACCATGCATGCTCATTCTGGGAAAAGATATCCTTATCCACCCATCCTATTGCCGAGATTTGGCCATTTGTGGCAAATGGATTATTCTTGTTATAAAAAATAAATTGCATGGTAAGAAATATAAGACTCTGAAAAATCTTTTAACTTCTGTGAACAGAACGCTACAGAGCATGTCACGTGATCGCCTTGATCATGTGATTCGCGCATGTGCAGAACGGTGGCAGATGTGCATTAAAATTGGAGAGGAGTACTTTAAAAAATATAAACACTGAGAGACCTAATTTTGTTTCTATTATGGAAGTATTTCAATTAGCTTGAGAACCTTTTGATCACCCCTCGTATATAGGAGCTCACATATTTTGAACATGATTGAGGTCTACAATAATAAAAGAGGAGGGATCTTAGAAAATTAAAATATCACTTAGCCATAAATAAAAAAAAACAAGAACTGTTTGTGAAACAATGATGTCCCTGTAAAGCAGCTTATGGGAAAGGTAAAAGTTTCTCAAATAAAAGTTAAACTCCAAGGCCAAGGTATCAAAAGTGTTTTTACCCAAAGGCAGGTCTTGTCTCAAGGAATACATTGCCTGTAAAATATCAAAGCCATGACATTAACTGTTGAAAATTATGGCGAAGGTTAAAGTTTTTCAAAAGTGGGTCAAACATCAAGGTCAAAATTAATGGTGTCCAAGGGAAGGTCTTGTCACGAGAAAAACACATGTGAAATATGAAAACCATGGCTCCAACCAAAAGTTATGGGCAAGGTTAAATATTTTGCGGACAAAGAAACGGATGGACGGGGAAAATTATATACCCCTGATCTTCGATAACCGGGGCATAATAAAACTTATGCATAAAGTCTACTATATGATACAGACTTGTTCACATTGTTCGTGGAACCAAATTTGGGCCGTAATATGAGGTCAAAGTAAAAGAAGGTAAAAATGAGGAAGATCTATAGAATTTTTTTCCTACATCAGTATCAGAAATAAAGTTAAAATTCCATACAGTTACATAAAATTAGATCTTGTATAATAATTAATTTTACCATAAGCCTAATCCTGTATAATTATGTGTCTGATAATCCATAAATCATATATTTACACATTTTAACATAAAAATGATAATAATGCAGTACCTCCATATGTTTGACCTTGGGAAGAAATTCACACTCAAATCTAGTACATGTATTGAAAAAAAACTTACATTAAGGTACAGATTTTCTAAATATATAAGCAAAAACAAGACTGAAGTAATTAGTTTATTATATTGTTTCTGGTATACACAGTTTTTCTTATAAACCAATCCACACAAGAAAGAAATGAAATATCTCTAAATTCCAATAACATATCTGAGTGTCCTGTTTGTGTGGGATTTTCATCTGCTATTACATCTGCAGATATTCTGTATTGCTAATCTTGAAATGCTTAAAGATTGATATCATGGACACTGCTTTCTCAGATTAGATAAACCATCAAATCAAAAGTTTACAGGCTCAGTGTTAAAGAACTACTATTACAGAATTAAGTGATAACAAAAGGTCTGACAGTCTATAAATCCATCTGAATCTAGATCTTTCTCCTTCTTCAGATCTTTTTCTTTCAAACAAAACATTTTCAAAGTTGGTTATGACATCTCATCCATAGGAAATACTGAAATATAAGAATATTATATATATATCACCTAATCATTGATCAATGAAAATAACACACTAGAGGCCCATGGGCCACAATGCTCATCTTAGTCACCTTGATCCTGGTGTTCTGAATTCAAAATTTTTTTTTAAAATGTCACATTTTATTCAAATAACAAGAGGCCCAAGGGCCTTAACGGTCACCTGAGTACAATACAACAATTTAGGGGATCCATAGAGTATTAAAATGAGAGGTGAAGCTTTGTTGCCCAAAAGCAAGAAAAATAGGGTGATCAGGATCAACAAATTAATTAGTCTAGTATTCATTAACAGTTTATAGATTAGGTTCTAATCTGTTCCCCATTTATCACTATTACCATAAGTATATTAACAAACTATCAGTGCTTCTATACTATTTTAATTCCTTGTTGTAATCTCTTACATTGGCCTCTCTTGGTCTTTGATGAACATTTAATAAGACAAGTTATTTTTGTCTCATTTTAATTTATCTATTACTTACAAGTCCACCTGATCATTAAAACTAGGAAAATACTTTTTGTATTATACAATAAAAATTCTTGCATAATTCTCTTATTCTATTAACCTTTCAAGTACATTATTTACAGTGATTAATTATCAAAAGTAAATGGCAAAGGGGAATAACTTCTCTCAGTAGAATGCAAATTGAGCCCTGGCTAGGACCAGAACACTTGACCAAATGGTCCAGATGTTCAAAAATCTGGTAAAAATACCCTTCCTTATTACAACTTTTACTCTTTTTGCCTCTGATATGCCCAAGTGCAGAGAAGATTTTTAAAGAAATAATGCATTTTTCCTACAGATTCACTATATTATCAATAGAGCCCCCCCCCCCCCCCCTTCACCACCGAGAAACACCAGAGCCTCTCACCCTGGGACCAGAAGTTTGCTCTTCATAAGTAATTACTTTCTTTACATGTATCTGCTTAACATTAAGGAACTGACAGGATTATTTAATAGAATTAATGCATTTTCACTATATTATCAACAGCCCCACCCTTACACCAGCACATCTGACCCAGGGGTCATGCAATTCACTACTCTGGAAGAAGCACTCTTGCTCATCTTAACTATATACTTAGCTTCTCTGCTTTTTAACCAGAAGCAGAAAAGAATATTTTCAAAGAAATTTTGCTTTTTCACTATATAATCAATAGAGCTCCCCCCCCCTCCCTTTCACCAGAACCCTTGACCCTGGGGCCATGAAATTCATAATTTTAGAAGAGGCATCCTTGCATATCATAACAATGTACTTAGTTTGTTTAAATGGTACCCAGGGGCAGAGAAGAAGATTTTCAAAGAAATAATTCACCTTCACTATAGGAGCTATATAGCCCCAACCTAGCACCAGAACCCCTGTCCCTGGGGCCATGAAATTCACAATTTTAGAAGAAGCGTCCTTGCTTATCATAACAATGTACTTTGTTTGTTTAAATAATACCCAGAAGCAGAGAAGAAGATTTTTAAAGCATTAATGCATTTTCACTATATAATAAATAGAGCCCGGTCCTAACATCAGAACCCTTAACCCAGGGGTCATGAAATTCACAATTTTGATAGAGTCACTCTTGCTTATCATAACTATGTATTTAATTTGTTTAAATAATACCCAGGAGTAGAGAAAAAGATTTTCAAAGAAATAATGCACTTTCACTATATGATCTATATAGCCCCCCTCCCCCCCCCCCCAGCACCAGAACCCCTGACCCTGGGGCTATGAATTTCACAATTTTGGTAGAGTCACTCTTGCTTATCATAACTATGTATTTAATTTGTTTAAATAATACCCAGGAGTAGAGAAGATGATTTTGAAAGAAATAATGCACTTTCACTATATGATCTACATAGCCCCCCTCCCCCCCCCCCCAAGCACCAGAACCCCTGACCCTGGGGCTATGAATTTCACAATTTTGGTAGAGTCACTCTTGCTTATCATAACTATGTATTTAATTTGTTTTAATAATACCCAGGAGTAGAGAAGAAGATTTTCAAAGAAATAATGCACTTTCACTATATGATCTATATAACCCCCCCCCCCCAGCACCAGAACCCCTGATCCTGGGGCCATGAATTTCAAAATTTTGGTAGAGTCACTCTTGCTTATCATAACTATGTATTTAATTTGTTTAAATAATACCCGGGAGTAGAGAAGAAGATTTTGAAAGAAATAATGCACTTTCACTATATGATCTATATAACCCCCCCCCCCCCCCCAGCACCAGAACCCCTGATCCTGGGGCCTTGAATTTCACAATTTTGGTAGAGTCACCCTTACTGATCATAACTATGTATCTAATTTGTTTAAATAATACCCGGGAGTAGAGAAGAAGATTTTGAAAGAAATAATGCACTTTCACTATATGATCTATATAGCCCCCCCCCCCCCCCCCCAGCACCAGAACCCCTGACCCTGGGGCCATGAATTTCAAAATTTTGGTAGAGTCATCCTTGCTTATCATAACTATGTATTCAATTTTTTTCAATAATACCCAGGAGTAGAGAAGAAGATTTTCAAAGAAATAATGCACTTTCACTATATGATCTATATAGCCCCCCCCCCCAGAACCCTTGACCCTGGGGTCATGAATTTCACAATTTTGGTAGAGTCACTTTTGCTTATCATAACTATGTATCTAATTTGTTTAAATAATACCCGGGAGTAAAGCAGAAGATTTTGAAAGAAATAATGCACTTTCACTATATGATCTATATAGCCCCACCCTAGCTCCAGAACCCCTGACCCTGGGGCCATGAATTTCACAATTTTGGTAGAGTCATCCTTGCTTATCATAACTATGTCTTCAATTTGTTTCAATAATACCCAGGAGTAGAGAAGAAGATTTTCAAAGAAATAATGCACTTTCACTATATGATCTATATAGCCCCCCCCAGCACCAGAATCCCTGACCCTGGGGCTATGAATTTCACAATTTTGGTAGAGTCACTCTTGCTCATCATAACTATGTATTCAATTTGTTTCAGTAATACCCAGGAGTAGAGAAAAAGATTTTCAAAGAAATAATGCACTTTCACTATATGATCTACATAGCCCCGCCCTAGCACCAGAACCCCTGACCCTGGGGCCATGAATTTCACAATTTTGGTAGAGGGCTCAATGCTTAATACAATCATGTCAACAGTTTAACTGCTTGATGTCCAGGAGTAAAGAAGAAGATTTTTAAAGATTGCATTAATTTTGGTGGTTTTAGCCCCACCCCTCAGGCCCCAGGGGGGCAAGGACCATGAAATTCACAAATTTTGTTCCCCTTCACACATAGATGCCATATGCAAAAATTGGCTGAAATTGGTTCTGAGGTTTCAGAGAAGAAGCTGAAAATGTTCAAATGTTAACACACGACGCACGACGGACGACGCACGACGACGGACGAAAACAGATAGCAATAGGTCACCTGAGTGACTCAGGTGACCTAAAAAATTACTCAATATTGTGGCCTCATCTTATCCTAAGGGTTTATAATTCAATTAACTTGAACCCTGATAACATGTCCATCTGTCCTTCCATCACACTTTGAACTCCTTATGCTGATATACATTTATTGACTGGGTTCAAGGGCAACATGCCTTGCATGCAATCCAAACTGTTTGCCTAAGGCCGTTAGGCCAAAGGCAAACAGTTTGGTTCAAGGGGTCGACAAAACGCATTGTGCCCGATAACACAGTCAATAAATGTTTTGTTATAACTTTTAAATATATTGGGTTTTTTTTTTTTTTATTCTTTTTTTTTTTTTTTTTTTGGTTATACATGTATTTTTTGCTGATTTCCATACCAACGAATGCAAGTAAGAATTTGCTGATCCCGCCCACAGTGTGACGTAAGCGGTCCAATACTAGTATCTCGTCCACAGGTCCAATATCTCACTCAGTGGTCAAACATCGATTTTTTTATGACCGCTTAACAGTAAAAAATTAGAAATGTTAGACTTTTTTTAGTATAGATTTATATAGGAACTAATTTTTAAAGGTAAAACAATACATATTGATGAGAGCTACTCAACATCAATTTTCTTAACTTGATTTCCTTTGACCATGACCTTATTGTAACAGGGGTCAGGTTAAGGTGATGAATAAAAACCAAGACACCTGCTGGTTTGTTAAATTGGCAATTTATTTGTAAATTTCTGTAGATAGTAATGTAATAGTTTTATGTTGTTTTAATTATTATGATATTCAAATGTATAATTTATTAATTATACATTTATGAATATGCCACAACTGATTTTAAACTCTGAAGTGCATGTATTAATCTGTGTGTCAACCATTATTGACAAAGACAAATAATTTAAAATCAAATATTAATAATATTCAATAAAATAATTTATCAAATAAAATAATTAAATTAATTAAATAAAACAAACTAATTGAAATAAAATAAACAATCTGCTAAAACTTTAGATCCACTCCTTGTTTTATCCCTACACCTGTAATAAGCTACCTGAGTAGAATTCAACTTTCTTTAATCCTATTGGTCAAAACTTTTACCTCCAAATACTGGACATGAGACAAAGACATTATTCAGATTGCTTTCAGACTGTGAAGACATGATTCTAATATATAACTTATAACTTTTACTGTGAACTGGCTACCAGATCCTAATATGTGAGTAACTTATTTACTTCTACTTATTAACAAAATATATCAGTCTCAAAATCTAATTTATCTGAAATTAATAAACTAATGAAAATGTTGAGTGTGCAAGAGTTGAGAGTGAATGATATCATTTTATTACAGTACATACAATGATAAAGTGCCAGTAATTGTTATTAATACGAAAGTACTCGATGAGGCACTCTGTTACATAAACAGGTACATTTCATCAGCTGCTCATATTTTCACAAATGTACTTATCATTTTTATATTTTCTTAATTAATAAGTGGAATTCACTTAATGATTATAATGAATAATGTAAAACAATTCAATATATTTACATTTGCTATGTTTTTCTACTAAGCCAACTGTGAAATTGATTTGAGAAACTCGCGCTAAAGTGACGTCACAATGAGCTATCGAGACGTTAATAAAAATGTAACGAAATAGAGCAGCGAATAATTCAAACATTGAGTATATTTTTGATGCTTTTGAACATGTAAAATGTAAATATAAGGAATGTTTTTAAGTTTAGTGTGAATGATTGGTGTGTAAATCACACAGACTTGCACGTAGGCATATTTTTCAAGAAGCGCTATCGCGCTTCATGAAATATGCCTACGTGACAAGTCTGTGTGATTTACACACCAATAACTCACACAAAACTTAAAAACATTCCTTAAATATGTTTCAAAGGAATATATATAAATTGTACAAGTTTTTATTAAATGCTGTGAAAAGGGGAATGACTCTTTCAAACTATGCATAGTCAGAATGTATTGTGATTTTATGAGTATATTGTATGTTTAAAGAATTGTCATCCTGATTATTTAAGGAATGTTTTTAAGTTTTGTGTGAGTTATTGGTGTGTAAATCACCCAGACTTGTCACGTAGGCATATTTCATGAAGCGCGCTAGCGCTTCATGAAAAATATGCCTACGTGCAAGTCTGTGTGATTTACACACCAATAATTCACACTGAACTTAAAAACATTCCTTATATTTACATTTTACAAGTTTAAAATCACCAATGATATACTCAATATTTGAATTTCTCGCTGCCCTATATTGTTACATTTTTATTTACGTCTCAGTAGCCTCATTGTGTATCACTTTGGTGCGAGTTTCACCCTGTATATTTCTACGCGCGAGTATACACAAAAATGACTTTCAAATCAATTGCACAGTTGGCTTAGTAGAAAAACAGAGCAAATGTAAATATATTAAATTGTACTAATATTATTTATATGTATATTTACAGGGTATTATTATCTACAGAAATTTACAAATAAATCGCCAATTTAACGAACCCGCAGATGTCTTGGTTTTTATTCATCACCTTAACCTGACCCCTTTTACATTATTTTTCTTAAATTGTGAGTAGCTCAGTTTCAAAGATACTATTCAAGAGATTTTGATTTTGATCAATTTTCATATATTACTTGTATTGATAAGAGCTATTCAGTTGCATGAAAATTTTTAATCTTGACTTTTCTCAAATTTATGTTAAGCTCAATGCGGATACATTTTGAAGAGTGTTATTGTCTTATTGAACTGCACCAAAAGAAATTACCATGACTTTTCCTTTGACCTTGATTTCACTTTTTTCTTAAATATGTAACTCAGTTTCAACAAAATTATTCAAGATACTTTTATGTAAGCTTATGCACTGATACATAAATTTGTAGAAAATTTATCAATTTTGTTCAACTTTTTTTTTACCTTGACCTTTTCAATGACCTTTTACTTTACTATTTATTGTAATTATATAAAACTCAGTTTTACAAAATATATATCAAATTTTAAACATAAATGCAAATTTTCATGTTACATCGTTAATTAACCCTGGGTGGGGCATTCATGTCCTATTGACAAATTTCTAGTTTGTAGTATGATTTTTATTGTGGCTCCATCCACTCAAAGGGGGTGTTATTTAAGGAATAACTGTCTAATTTTTTGGATTCATGATGTGATCAATCGAGTGGCTTGCGTGATAATTTGCATAAACGCCGAAGGCGTTTATGCATAAAATTATCACGCAAGCCAATCGATTGATCATCGTCATGAATCCAAAAAATCTGACAGTTATTCCTTATATTTACATGCTCCTGATTCTGCAAATTCCCGTGCTTATAGCCCCGCTTCTGTCTCTATTTGTCACGCCCGGCACGTGATTTTTTTTAACCGCGCCTATCGATGAACCAGTAGATTTATGTAGAAATAAAGTATTTTTACACTTTGTAATTTTATCTCGGACAAAGACATTGGAAATGTAAATATTTGAACATGAAACTACACTATGTCAAAAAACTTTCACAAAAATTTCAACTTTTCTGCCTAGTGATTCTTGAGAGGATTTTCAAATGACACCACCAAACTATAACTTTTTATTAATTATTGCCCCTTGGCCCTTTATATGAATGAAATTTAATTCTCTCCACCCAATCTTGCCTTGTAAAAAAATTGGTTGAATTCTGGAGAAAGTTGAAAATGTGAAAAGTTTACAGATGACACACAACATTTATGAATGATAGATGAATGCCAGACACTCTTTGATCAGAAAAATTCACTTGAGCCTTAGACTCAGGTGAGCTAAAATGTACAGCAATTAATTATAAAGTAGATATCTGTTTTAACAAATTAATAGGGTGTAAATCTATATATAGCACCTACTAGATTATCTACATCCTAAAATTTATATATTCTGCAGTATAATTTTTTTTTTAATTGAATGTAAAAATTCGCAATTGTCCTTAAAGGGGCCTGGACACAGACTTCAAGTTAATATTTTCACAAATTTTCTATATAATATCATGACTTATATGTTGTATAGCATTTCACATGGAAATACATGTATAATAAAAGTGTGTTCAGAAATTTCTTTTATAAATCTGGAAATTATTGAAACTACGAATTTCGGGACACGTTTGACTGACACATACATCCTTGCACTTTCAAAAAGTAAACTCCTTAATACTTAAAAAAAGTAGAAATTTTGTTGTTTTTTAATGAATATATTTAAACTTTAATCCAGAAAATTCAGAGTAGAAATGTGAGAAAGCAAAACCAACTCACAAATTGAACACACCTGGTGAAACGTAAAAACAATAACAGAGCTTGTGCCCTGTTTACAAAAACAGATGTTTGACGTGATGTAAAGAAGAATGTCGTTGTCATTGAATTCTAAGAATATTCATATGTAAGTTCAATTCATTTAACTGGTTTTATTATTTGAATGTGTAGAAATTTTAAATGTAAACAATACAACTGTGTCCAGGCCCCTTTAAGATTTTCTTACCCCCCCCCCTCCCTGGGTTAATCTGCCACTGTAATAAATAAATCTTTTCATTATTCTTTCTAACATTGAATGGCCTTTTTACCTCTCTGCCATCCATAATTCTTTGAGTGGAAAATCATTTTCATTCTTTATAGCACTGTTTTCTCTCTTCAAAATCTGCATACTTCTAAAAATCAAGACTCTTTGTAGCTTCTAAAATTTAAATGTGCAAATAATTCTTTAAAAAAACTAGAGCATAATTTCTGTTTCTTATGGTGACTGCATGATGATTGAACAAAATGTAGAATTTCTCATATTTAGAATTTGTCAATTTATCTAATTAAAAACATACACTAGAAGCAGTGACTATAAAAACAGCAGTGATCATTGTTTTATTGTTCAGAAAGTCATTGAACAGTGTCTTTGTTATTCAATTATACAAATCTGAGTGGTTCCGTCCCGCTTACCTGCTTGTACCGAGTGGTTTTGCCCCCACTTCCTGTTCGCCTCAGTGGACCATTCACCCCAGGTGGTTTTCTTTAAACATTACTTAGTGTACTTGATGTTCATGGAAGCAAAAGTCATTTGATCAGTGGGTGTTTTGATTAATATAATTAATGAGCACTTTAATTTAATTCAATAATTACTTGCTGATCAATACCAAATAATTTATACTGATTTTAAGGACAGGTGAAAGTAGTTAACTTTTTTTTCAAAAATAATAAAAATATATGTTTATCTAAGTAAAATAAATAAGATTAGCTGCATAAATTTTATTCAAACAATTTCCATCTTTTTCTGAATTTTGAAACAGTTAATCTCCATTTTTTTCAGAAATTAATTTTGAATAAAGAAGATAAAATACTTTTAAAAAATCAAATAGGTACATGTATATCACTGTGTAGATAGCTTTGGATACATCAAAAGCCTTCCCCTTAGCACACAGGCAAAAAGACAAGCATATGAACATCAGCGATTTATCATAACAAACTGCTAAAATCCACATGTACAAAAATTTGACACATTTACAATGTGACTACTAATTACAGGTATAATACGGGCAAAAGTCACTCAGAGGAAAACGTAAAACATACACATGTAGATTAGTGATACACCACAGTCTTTACTTACAGAACAGGAATCGGCCGTTTTATCAATAAACGAGAAATAAAGTCAAAATAAGTAATTCATATTTTATTTTTGAAAGAGAAAATTATTTTTGGTATATTTATATAGGAAAAAATAATAATATTATGTGTGGGTTACCCTACGGCTTTCCATACATAGCAAAGTGTTTTACTGAAATCCTAACCTTGACAAAATACAAAAAGAAACTATGGCAACATATATCTTTTTATAGGAAACATTTGACTGAATTGTCTCCACAGAAATTCTTTTTACACTTTCATAGTTTTTAACACATCTCTTACGATAATGCACTTAATAACTTTCCATGGGTTTCACTAAATGTTTACAAAAATTAATATAAATTCCATAAAGTGCTTGGAAATGAATGCTACATTATACATCAGTTTAATTCCATGCACATAGGATTTATCTTAATTCATTTACTTTTTAATTACATCCCAATTTATGAAAAAAATCACTTTAAACAACCTGCTCTGAAAGATATGCTAGGGTATAGTAGCAGCCATGAAATGAATGGGATTTAAACCGTCATTGATTAATATTGTTATACCTTTAAAAAATTGTTTCTTTATAAATCTATGCTTAAAAAAAAAAGTCTAACATTTCCAACGTTTTACTGTGCAGTCATACAAAATCCATGTTTGACCACAGAGTGAGTTATTGGACCTGTTGATGAGATATTGGACTGCTTAATAAGTCACACAATGGGTGGGATCAGCTAAATCTCATTTGAATTCATTGTGGGTTCGACAGTGACGTACATGTAATTGACCAAGTTTAAACTCTGCAGTGCTGTTAAAGGAAATTTTACATCACAGAAGCCAGCACAAGATAAATGGATGTCAACAAAAATAAAATAAAAGGTATAACAAAACATTTATTGACTGTGTTCTCAGACAATATGCGTTTTGTACACCCTCCAACTAAACTGTTTGCCTTTGGCCTAAGGGCCTCAGGCAAACAGTTTGGTTCTTGGGTCCAACAAAATATGTTGCCCTTGAACCAAGTCAATAATGATATACATTTTATGCATTATTCACTTATAAAAATATTGGATGGGGTTCATTGAAAGTAAGGAGGGGAGACCCAGCTAAGGGGGATAACTCTAAAATTTGATTGATTAATAAAGGGAATTACTGTATTTTGAACTCTATGATAAACTCCAAAATTTGATAGATAACTAAGGGGGATAACCCTAAAATTTGATATATCATCAAGTGGGCAACTCTATACTGTTCTATATGCCAAAGGCATCAAGGGCTGTAAATAATAAGATGTAAAGGGTAACTCTAAACCTTGATAAAAAAAAAAGCACTCTCATGTATAAATGTTTCATCTTCTGCAAATTGATTTGCATTTAATTTTTTTCTCCATATAGAATTGTACCATTTGTTTGTTTGTTTCATTTTATTTTCTATTTTCTCTCAGAAAATTGTCATAAACCTGGAAAATTAATCATTGTAGGCATAGGCTACATCTCCCTTAAGGTCAGACGACACGTTCCTCAAAAATATATAATTTTTCCCAAGAATTTGTCATTGAAGTATTGCTACTTAAACAACTTTACTCACCAAAAATTGAGGTACCTTACCAGGCATTTGAGCAAGATACCAGAGGGTGATATTTCCTATATAATCCATATAGGTAATCTTTTGAATTGCCAATGTTACAATTATGGTGTACTTATTTTTTAAAACATATTGAAAACAATTAAGAAATCACAAGAGAATGACAATTATGAATAATTTTTGATATAATACCAAGGTATACAAAACATATAATTGAGTAACATGTCGTCTGACCTTAATTAAGGATTTTTTTAGATATGTTTAAGGTTCAGCACCCTCTGATTACTCATTATTAATTTTATTTTAATGCTAATGATTATCCAAAAGAAAAATTATTTATGATTAGATTTACACACTTCTGAGTTCAGCTTGTGAGGCAAAATATGGCAGAAATGACCCTTTCACTTAACTACTTTATAAATAATAATCATTTATTCCAGTTAGAGTTATCCGTCTTATCAGAGGGTTAATGAACCGTAAGTTGTACGAGTGGAAAAGAACTTACAGGGGCAGGAGTGCTGCTTATTGGGACAAATACAATAACACTGCAAGGAATATCTGTAATCTTCAAAATTTCAATATACATGTAATAGCATTTATTAAAAATTAAGATAAAGTTATAAGAGAAAATAAGATGCAAGTTTTTTTTTAGTCTAACACTAGGAAGTATGAAATATAATTTTTGATATATTAAATATAGATCAAGCATTAGTACACAGAATATATTTTCTTTAGAGCTGAAATCTATCACATAAGAGGGAAGAAACAAAGCATGAATTTAAAAGATATAGTCTACTCTATTATACATTTAGACCGATATGTTTTCTTTAGATGAAAAAATGAAAGGATTGAATATTTTACAACTGAAAAAAAACTTAAGGAAGTACTAACAAGTGCTTGATGGGCTTAGTATGGTAATTATTGTGAAGGGGGAAAAAAGGATAAAGGCAACCATTATGAATGTTGATTTAATGCTAATTCTGGATTTGACATATTATTATTAACCACTTGTATATTTTTCCACTAATGTTGTTAGACTTTCACCTCTCATTTAAGCGTCCTTCATAAACACATTAACTGTTAATCAACAACTATAACAAATTAAAAAAAAACATAATATTACTACGTAGATAGCTAAGATGTATTTTTTTTTTACTCACAAATGATTATGCATAATAATATGACTACTTGTAAGATTCTTGACAAGTATAATCAAATATAATTTCAAAAAATTTTAACACCTGGGGAAAAATAAAATTTTGAATTCTTTGCTATGGTTGGGTATTTAAAGTAATAATTTATGGCCTTTAAAAGTTTCAATGTTTTATTTGATGGTTATCTGGACTTCCAAAGACAGTGAAAGGTGCAAAAAAAAAATGTTCATTTTCACAGTGTCACACCAGGAAGCAATTTCTTTATTGCAAAATTTGCCATTTGAAATCTGTTAGTAATTTAATGGTAATTAAACAAATGCCTTGTATATTCAAAGTGACATTTCCATTTGTGAATTCAGTTTTTTTTCTAAAATTTACATCCCATCAACAAGGTTTAAATAACATATTAATGTTAATTAAACTACAATACCAAACACCCAAAAACTGACTAATGGTCGATGGCTCATTACATGAAAAGAAAGCATCACCTCATTTACTGCACACATCATAAAATTCATCATTTCACCTAAGCCTATTACATCCAATGAATATTCACTGCTTCAACCATTTTATGGTATGAATCTACACTCTAGGAGTTTCTTAGCTCATCCAAATACCATTTAACCCACTATATCCAAGTACCGGTATTTATTTGATCATCTGCTTTACCAAATGAAATATTAAGTTCATCAACTTTACTTATGAATCCAGATTATTTCATATCACTTCTAGATCCTTAAGATTTCACCGGCTCATCCATTAATCTGTAAAATATTCCTAGGAATCCACTGGTTCATAAAAATCTTGTGGTTCCTCAACTGGTTTACTTTCTGGTACAAGTTCAAGATATTTATTTTTTCCAAACATGTTCACATAATCAATGGCTGAACAAGTTGATGTTACACTATCTTCTAGGGGATTTCGGGGAGGGGATTTCCAGACTTTAGAGTTTGGGGTGTTCTTCCCTTCATCACAAATATAATACTCAGATCCTTCCCCAGTCGAATATAATTTAGTTGTGTTTGCCTTAGGGGCCACATAGAAGTCCTCTGTAAGCTCCACTTTTTGAGTTGTAGTCCCTTTTCGAGGTGTATTTACATACCCAGGCTCCTTAGTGTTATGACTAGGTGGAGGAGCTAGCTCTGTTTCACTCTTTAACTGTTTTCTTTTAGAAGGAGCATTTTCATAATCCACAGAAGATGTGGAGGGAGGATCGGGGGCCATGAAGGCCGGACAGGAGGGTGCCTCAGGTTCAATAGAAACTGTTGAAGTGGGGTCCTTCTCATAATTATGTCTCTCCTTTTTCTTCTTTTTCTTGCTCTTTTTACTGGCTTCTAAAGCTATCTTGTCAATGTCTTCAGGGTTAGGGAGTGGGTTAGGGGGTGGCTTATTCTTTTTCTTCAAATATCGTCCTCTATAAACAAATCCCAAATGGAGAAAAATCATGACATTGTTTCAATAAGCAACTTACGCAAAGTTTTTTCAACTTGATATTAAATCAAGCTTCTTAATAATCAATTTATTAGAGTGATGATATCCAGATATCCAGATCACAGGGTTTGTTTATTTTATTGCATGCTACTGAAAGTATTTCTAAGACACACTATGGTCATTGCAGTTTGCATACCAACAAAGCACTTTTTTAAGTGAAAGTTTATAATTAGCCCCTCCCACCAATCCAATTAATAGTGATTTGTTTAAATGCTGTTATATATATTATGCATAGTGACAGACTAGATTTTACAGGAAATATATCTGCATGAGACCTTTCTGACATGTAAAAGTACTACCCCTCCCAGATAAATGAAAAAGAGCCCAGACAAAGTGATCCCTATGTGTATGCAATATGCTAGCAACACAAATTCTCTAGGTAGTTAGGCACATTATCTTTATTTCAGAATACTCTGATAACAAATCCACTTTTTCTTGAAATAAGAGTAACTTTGACATGGTTTTGATTGTCCATACCTCAGGAAAAGAGCTGTCAGTAAAGCGAAAATAACAAACACCAAGCTCCCGATGACAACTCCGACTACCATACCAACATCTGATCCTGTTAAAGACAACAAACAAACAATAACAAATCTGAATGTTATGGAAAAACAGACTAAAATAATTTTAAAAAACAGTTCTATGGGCCATATCACTTCTAAGAGTCTTTTTGCTTTACCTAAAATAAATTGAGTTAATTAACATGAATAGTCTGTTCCTATCTAATACCAGCAATAAGCTGGAGTGATTTGGCATTCCTAACCTTGAAAGGACTTTGAAATTCAACTCTAAAATCTCAAACTAAGGAATATGTCAATTGTTTTACTACAGCCTCATCATTTTCAACATATTGAGGTTTGACTGTACCTTTTTTACATTACATAAGCTACTTGACAAGTGTAAATTTATTCTCTGTAAAGAGGCCTACATACTTTTTTTTTCTTCATTTATTCTTATTTAATGCATTGAGCTCTAGTACTCTCTTTCTTCCAAAGGACTATCACATGTAAACATGTATCTAGTGCAGTAGGCCTGCAGAAAATGTTGATATTTCTATGTGTTTAACCCTTAGAATGATTCGGTGCCTTAGTTGAATTTCTTTCAAGTTTAGAAATACTATGAACCTAATACTTTTGCTTGGAACTGGTTGATTATTCTAGACAGAATTTTTTTTAAAAAATATAGTCATCAAAAGGACATTAAACATAACTTTAAGCAAACAATATCAGGCGAGATTTTAGACTGAGGTGAGCTAAAAGGAGAAACATTGAAAAAAAAGGACTTTTCCATCAGAAGAATACTGTAAAATGAGAAGACATGGCGCATACGTATTTAAGCACAAATGCAAGTGGGAAAGCATTGGCGCAAATAAATTTTAAGGCTAGCACTTGTCATTAAAATATATAAATGTCTTATTTTTTCCCCTTTGATCCACCCCCGTATTTGATTTTGAGGTCACTCAGCCATGCAAATACAATAGCATTTATTTCTAACTCACGTATACAGGTAAACATTTGTTCACTTTTCCGTGGTGTTAGACAGCTTCATACGTTCCGGTTTACATGCACTCATTACAAGTGATTGCTTTTAACACAAAAAAGTTCAATATTTAGAAATCCTTCGCGCACAATATTAACGTTTGGGGCGCTAAAATTAGTAGTGTGCCATATTTTCTCGTTTTACAGTATTCCATCCTCTTAGTTAGACAGAGAACTTTTTTCAATCAAATTAAGAAAAGTTGTTAATAGATCTTCTGATATCTTTCATTTAAAAAATGGATATTCACAATATATATTCCCTCAAAAATAGACTTATTTGTAATCCATTTAAATAATAAACAGTGTATTTTTATCTTTTATACCTCCACTTTCAGATGAGTTTACTGGAGGCGCCATCTCCATTGTGGTTTGTAGCAGAGTGGTTTTCTCTGTGGTGGTGGTAACCAGGTCAATGGTGGTGGCATTTTCTGCAGTTACTGACGTGTTCCTGGCAGTAATTTTTGTTGTATCTGTCATGGCTAGATAAGAAAAAGAGGATGAAAATCAACAATTAATCAGCAAGAAAACACACAAAGACAACATCCTTGGCCATTAGACACTCAGGTTTAAATCATCACAGATACTCTCCGATGAATCACCAGGAAGAAGGCCCTCCACAGTACAAGCCCTCTGTATTGTCACAAAACTACAGTAATACCAACATCCAACAAACTTAGTCAGGATTGTTAAACCTTTCTCCATTAGTACACTGCCTGTTCCTTCATCACGTACATATATCCTTCTACTCCCAGCAACCTCAGCTCTAGAGTCATGACATTCTGTACAATTTCCTGTTCAGAATAATTATACTAAGGAAAAAAATGTATTTTTGTGTGTGTGCTATCAAGAATGACAAAATCCATGAATGAATCTTTAAAAAAGCCTATAATATATATATATATATATATATATATATATATATATATATATATATATATATATATATATATATATATATATATATATATATATATATATATTGAAAATTTTCATTTCAAGGAAACTGGTATATTTACAGTGAAGCTCACATACAACAAGGTTAGGGAAGTATTTCTATTCTACAATGCACAATTAAGTGTTACATGATTGTCTCATTATTATTGTTAATAACCCTTTTAAACATTAAGTCAAGTGTTTAATGGATGCCATATATGACCTAGGATGTACATGCATGTGCCTTACTGCAGAAAATTATGTTGTATGTATGCTGTAAATTGTGCCATCAAATTTTCAGAATATAATTGTGTATGTACAAACATCTTGGTGCTGAAAATATGAAGGCAGCTAGATATGTGGTAAAAAAAAAACGGCAGGTATAATGATGCAGTTACACTACATTCATCAAATTATTTTCCTCATATCAAATGAATGCAATTTTAACCTCCATATATTATATATGTAATATATTTTTAGTGTACAACATTTACATTTAAAAAAAAAAAAAACTGATGATAGGGTTCTACTTTTTCACATTGAATGTTACACTGGAGCTGAGGTTCCTTACTTGGGACAGAATAAAATATTTCCACAAAAAACTTTCATTTCTTTTCTTCTTTTTTTTTTCTTTTTGTAAATATGCACTTTAAATACTCATGAAGTCCTATAGATTTCCTACATTTGTATGTGTCCAAGTTGTCTTTATTACAAGCTACACATACTAGCAGATTAATATGATCTTCTATGTAGTGCTGGAAAGCAAACTTTAAAAAAGGCACATATCAAATGTTCAATTCCTGTAAGAAAACCCAACAATTATCCATACATCCTAAAATTTGAGTAAGAAGTGACTTTTCAAAAAATAAATCAATCTACAAAGAGATTGCGCATATACACCTTAAATCAAACAGAGCTGTAATGGTTTATTACATTCAAGTGAGAGGAGGAGATTAAAAGAGCTTACATGCATACCAGAGGCACTTAGTGTTTCTGTAAAAAAAAAAAAATACCCCATAGTATGATTATTATCGATTATACTGTAGGTTTTTTATTTTTGTTTTTTTTTCCTACAAAAACAAGTGCCTGTGATGCATACCTCTGTCCTGTCTAGGTGAAATAATTTACCTGGAAGAGAGTAAATAAAGCAGTTACCTGGCCAGGTAAAACATTTGTGAGTTTATCCTACATTAATTGTTGACATCGCCAGTTTATCAGCAAGGAGAGTTGTCTTAATGACTGGACCACTTGTATGTGTCATTATGTTAACTGACACTGTTCACAAGCTAAGGTCAATATTCCACCACAAGGAAACAGTGGGCCAGGTTTATGGGGGAATTATTATTGTTATACTTATGGGGATCTAATATTATAAGGGGGTTTTCCATAGTGGAGATAATATACAGTTAAAGTATATCATTGAGGGAGTTAGCAAGATTCCAGTTCCCCAAGGCCAGGTCTATTTCCCAAGGTGAAGCCAAGGGAAATAGTCCTGGTCGAGGGGAACTGGAATCTTGCTAACTCCCTCAATGATATACTTTTAACTATTTATTATACCGATAAAAAAGTAAAAGCAAAAGTAAAATTTAGAGGATTCAAATAGGGATTAGCTCACTGAACTAACACACGGGGATTAGTCCATTCACACATCATACCAATGTAAAAGTACAATCAAGAGGATTTCGGATAACGGGAATTAGCATTCAAAGCAGGGATTAGCTCATTTGACTAACACACAGGGATTAGTCCATTCATAACAATTTCTAGGGAATTAGTCACATCTAATGATCTTATGTTATATAGGGAAAAAATCAGTAGAGGTATGATAACTATCATTATTATACCTCTACTTATTTTTTCCCTACATAACATTAGATCGTTAGATGTGACTTATTCCCTAGAAATCACTCTGAATGGACTAATCCCTATGCATTAGTCAAGTGAGCTAATCCCTTCATCAAAAGCTAATTCCCAGTTATCCGTAATCCTCTGGATTTTACTTTTACATTGGTATGATATGTGAATGGACTAATCCCCGTGTGTTAGTTCAGTGAGCTAATCCCTGCTATGAAATCACGCTATCTGAATCCTCTAAACTTTTTGTTTGTATTGGTACAATAAAACAGTTAAAAGTATATCATTGCGGGAGTTATCAAGATTCCAGTTCCCCTCAACCAGGACTATTTCCCTCGGCCTCGCCTCGGGAAATAGTCCTGGCCTTGGGGAACTGGAATCTTGCTAACTCCCTCAATGATATACTTAAACTGTATACTAACCAGAATGACAAGAAATCAAACTCAGCCTTCAGTTTATCATATTTTTCTAGCTTGAGAAAACTAAAATAAAATTTTGTTGAGTAATTAACCTTACAGAAAATTACAGATGAACAGATTTTTTTTTTTAAGTTTATGGCTTAAATAGTCAAAAAAAAAAGTTCCTTTGTTGAACATGAAAACATTAGCTGTTGGTATTGATATATTTTCCTCAAAGGATTTTGTAGCACTATAATGTAAAACCAAGACATTTCTATTTGCTATGGGGCAAAGTCAAATTTATACTAAATGAAAAAAGCTTTAGTTGATTCACTTAACACCTACAACATTTAGATATGTACATATGAGTCAAGACACACCAGAACTTTACTTTAAAGTATATCAAACACAAATACCTGGGGGAAAAAACCAATTAAACCACTCACATTAATAAAAATAAATGAAGGATTCTCAGTAACAAACTATTCACCTCTATTGGCAACAATTCGATAAGGGAGAGAGTTATAAAAACTCGACACAGGATCAGATGAAATCAAGATTTACATAAACAGCTTTACTTCAAAGTTTCTATTATCTTACTAAATTTTCCCAACTTATTTATTTTATAAAAATAAATTGATAAGCCCTGAAGAGTTTACTGATATTCTTTGATGAATCATTTTTTCTATTAATTAGGAATGAAAAAGAAGCTTATGACAGCTGCAAGTCATTTCCAGAAAAATCAAATTACACAGTAAAGAAAACTCTGTAATACTCAGGTTTGATACATTTTTCCCTTCCTCCATCTTTCCCTTTGTAAGTCTATAATCTTCTGTAGCTTGTTTTCATCAACAGTTTTAAAAAGATGACACACAAGCAAAATTATTTCTTATTTAAAAAAAAATAAGGAAAAAGTAGGGATAGAAAAGGAAGAATACTGGTTTCTACTTATTATTTATATATATCAACAGGAAATGAAACACATTTAAAAATATACTCTATGTAGAAATGCAGTAATTTGATCAATCGATTAAAGCATACAAAAAGAATATTTTAAACAAATGCGACACTGCAAGAGAACAGAAAATATCCGAAAGTTTACATTGCACCTTTGATAAGGATTTAAATATAGACGCACACTTTCTAAGAATTAAAACCAGGATCTAAGGACCCATCCCGTAGATTACATGTTTTAAAAGACATTTTTTAACGTTTTACACTTTTAATTTACAGTGTATATTTACTGATTCGTTCTCCTTACAATAATCTAAAACGTCTAGCCCTGTGAAAACATCCACATGGAACAACTGTAAAAAATATTCTACAAAATATAGGCCTACTTCAACGTAAACAAAAAAACTGACCTACATGCCAGGTCAAAGTAAGGTATCCCAGGAGGTGCGCCTATAATATTATTGACAGCATGTATGCTAACTTACTTACCTACATTTGAATATCGCTCTAATCACTAGAGTGTATCATACATCATACAAATTCCCTGATTCATGTAGATATAATACGAGAAAAAAGAAACCTCTTAACGTCTAAACCCTCCGATTTGTTTTTTTCAATAATAAGGAAGTAAAAAAAGGTGTACGAGTGCCCCTCGGAAGTTATTGTTCTTGACTATCACATTTCAAATAGAGTTGTCTTTCTTAATTTAGAATAAGAGACAGACTTAGCAATCACTGTTCCTCTGCATGGAATGACTAAATAAATAAATAAATAAATAAAACCTCAGTAAACAACAATGTTCTGGTTGGAGTCTTCATTGTTCAAAAATAAAGATTACATATTGGGGGGTTTTCCCAGTCTGCACACGTAGATATGCATGTTCTCGATTGTAATGTTTTAATTAATTATATTACATGTATATTGTGAATACGTTTATAATATCTCATATTGGTTTGAGAGAAAATTAACAAACCATAAACTTCCCTTTCAAAACATTTCAACTATAATTGTTGCAAAGAAGTTTGCTTATATTCATCATGAAAGAGTTTCAAAAGAGAGCTACATGATATCTAGATTGTAAAGTTTACTTAGTAATGGAACAAATGAAGGAATTATTAAGACCTCAATGCCCTTTTTGTGCTGTTTTGCGTAAACTCTGAAAAAATACAAGAAGATTGAAAATGACAAATTTATCAATTTTTGTGAGTGTCCCTTTATCTTTAAGTTGCCCGATTGATAGGAAGTACAATAAAAATCAGAAACTGAACCATACTTTCTTTTCTTTTACATATATACGGTATATTTTGATTTACAGAGAAGATGTGAATACAAAATTATCATTTTCATGTAAAAATAATAGTAATGCATTGTAATAATAAAACAAATTTATAAATGACATGGTAAGTGAATATCTAATTATGCCATTTCATGTCCAAAATACGATATATACATATACATAAAATAAATCTCTTAAATATTGTAAATAATTTTTTCTGAGTTCAAAAAGCTGTTCTCATTCAATTGAAAAACAGAAAAAAATATATTAAAGTCATATATATGGCGTATTTTTATAAGTTCACATAACCAAAATTAAAAGTATCTTTCTATTTGATTTATTACTTTATATAAAGATTGGACTTTTCTATAAATTACACAATTTAAATCAACCGCGTTTCAAAGATATCAAAAAATTAAAACAATAACCGATTTATTTACCGACTCCACATTTAAATAAAAGACGAATTTAAAGTCAATTTAATTATAGAAACGTGAGATTAATCAAGTCCAAAATCGGTGAAAATTTTAATTTGAACGTAAATAACATTATCTCATGTTTATCTACACTTAATCTCGTATTATCGTTTTTTAGCTCAGATACGCCATATATAGCTTTAACCTGGTGTAGCTGATTTGTGCTATAAATAAATGCACACGAAAGGATTCAATCATTTTGAGACTCATTTATTTCACAGTCAAGCTACTCCATTTTTCATCCCAAGGTCGCCACTGACCACCTTCGATGCAAGACATAAATTTTAAAAATTGATTTCAGTCATGTCACCTTGGGCGACAAAATTGACAAACATTAACGAATAAGTGCAGCTTTTGTAATTGGTGCACAATCAGGCATTTGTAGAATCGGTCATGCCTCATTGATCACGTCACTAAACTGACGCAAGTGGACGTTACACATCAGAACGAGCGAAAATATCAGAGAAATGGGTCCTCGCGTACAGACTGAAGTATTTCATCAATATGCATCAAAGTTGAGATGAAGCGTTAAACGATGAGTTTCTTGTTGATTATATTAAGTTTTTAAGTAGATCTACCACAACCTATTATCATGTGCTCTGTCAGCTCTCATTGAGACATGCAGTTCGATGTCCGACTGGTCATTTTCTTTGGAAATATATTGTATAATCATGTAGCAGGTAAGACCTTTCTTATTAGTTCATTTAATTACGGAAAATCGATGAAAAATGTTTTCACTCATAGTTTCAATATCGAAAAAAGTATGCAGATGTCAGAAGTTAGGTCTTTTAAAACCATTTGTGTTAATAGCTGCATTATTACTGAGTTTTATTTAATTCTTTGTTATATATAGTTAGAATTTCATCATATTTAGGGTACATTTTCGTTACTGTGCGTTTTTTGCGTTTTTCAGATGCTCTAACAAAATATGCCTGCGTGAGTTTTAGCGGTTTTGGGGGTAAGTTAGGTGGTTATGGAGGCGTAGTTGGCGGAGGTTGGGATTTTGACGATTTCAACAGTAATTCGGCCTCAGCTTCGTCTGAAGAATTCGGAATGAGGTTTGCACCATATGCTGGTTACGGAACTCTCCAGCACGGAATCGCCCCAGGAGTCGGAACACCTGCACAAGTCGGCGCATCTGCACCTGGTATGTCTCCTGGAACCTCCCCTCTTGCAGCGGGAGGGTTGTCTCCAAAGAATACAGCGGGAATGTCTTTCGGCCTACCGAACTCTGCCGCAAGCCTCGGAGGTGCTTCTCATATCACTGGACAGGGCTCCGGCGCTGCGGGAGCACCTGCTGGACAAATGCCATTTCAACCGGTGCCACCTGGAAATCCTGGAGTGGTCTTGTCTGGAAGTCTTTCATGCGCAGATCGTCCACAGACAACCATTTTGATTACAAAACTGGTGTACGGTAATGGTGGAATATACACCTGTTCCGCTCCCGATGAAGAATGTGATGTTGTAGACTACCAGGATCCGGAAATCACGCCATTTTGTGACGGCCAAGTTAGATGTTTGATAAGGACGACAGGGAAAAAATTAATCCCATGTCAAACGACTAGTAATTTTGTCCATGTGGAGTACGAGTGTATTTATCGTAAGTTCACATGCAATTCTTTGATGAAACCAAAATGTACGGTAGCTTTCAGTATTAATTGCAAAATTCCATAAATTTGAAATGTGTAATTTTCATTAAATCTAGCTTGGTCTTCTTTCAACATCTGCAAAGACATCAAAACGGTTGTTCGAGAACCGGAAGTATATGTTATGTCCCCCAGCTTCTTCCGGGCAGAATCCCCGCCATCCAAAGTATGCGAATGCATCTTGAAAGGTCGTTATGACAACCGCATTATGGCTCAGTACGTTCATACAGACATAGAAGAAATGGCGAATCATTCATGCCCGGAGAGTTTTGTCTTGTTTGAGAGTAAACTGAGTCCAAATCAGACCGAATTGGAGAAAAAGACCGAAGTTTGTGGACGACGGTCTCTCAACAATTACTTGTATAAGGGTGATCTCAGAATTACTTTTAAGGACTCGGATTCAGGAAAGAAGAGTGGATTTGTTTCTAAATTGCTTGGTAGGTATTTTTTATTGATATTCTTTATTGATTGCAGCACATTTTCTTTAAATGGTTGGTATACGGAAATGATATACTAATGAGTAGATAAAAGTGAAAATGACATAAGTATCTGAATTTGTAGTTACATATAGTTCTTGAAACCTCCCTATAATTCTCCGAAATATAACATATAAAGAATAAATACTCAAATAAAATTAAAAAAAAAAACAAAAACATTTAAAATTATGTACGTAGTGCAGCAAATTTCATACCCAGAAAACGTATTACATCACAAAACATTTTTGACATGCCATGATCCTGGATGCTATGCAGTTTTTAATGTAAATTTGTTTATCTCATACAGTTCCACCTGTTGGTATGGGCGTACAAGTGGAGATTGCCTTGGAATGCGGACCTGTACGAATGGAAGGGGAGCCAACTCCTGATCCAAACAGTATTAACAGGAATAATTTCGGACCGATGCCATTTCCGGGACCGTTTGGACCATATTCCCCATTAGGAACTCTCAATTCCCAATTTCAACAGTCTCCGAGAATCCCAGCTCCTCCTGTTTTTGAAGGGGTTCAAACTATGCAGACTTCGGGTTGGAGAGCCCCGTTTCCAGTCATTAACACTGGTCCTATGAATTGGGGAAGACCTACCACAAACTGGGGTTCTCCTCAGTTCCAATTTCCAAAGTTTTCTGCTGGTCCACAGAACACACAATCTGCTTCCACCACCAGTAGTCCTCCCGCAGCTTGGTCCAGAAATGAAAAACCACCAATCCCTAGCAACAACAGACCAGCGCTGATGACAGCAACGAGAAAACAACAGCCTCAGCCAAGACGAAATCAAGGACAGGCTAACAGACGTCCAGTTCCACCAAAAAGAGCCCAAAGTCAACCAAACAGAGGTAATAATCAGGCAAGAAGGGGTCAAGGTCAACCAAACAGAGGTCCAAGTCAGCCACGAAGAGGTCCAGTACAGCCAAAGAGGGCAAGGATTGAAAGTAGAAACACAGTACTAGAAACAAAAGACAGTGGTGTGGACGGAACAGGTAAAAACTACCTAAAGCATTGCCCCTTAAAATTTTCTTTAATTATTTTTCTTGTATAGAAAAGGAATCTTTAAAAAGATGAGAAAACATACGGAGAAGAGGAAAAGTAGGAATAAGTAGCCATTGTAAGGGGTTTGTTTATTTTTAATAATATCAGGGTAAAGAGTGTCCATCCTTATTGTTTTAATTTTGTTGACTGCAGGGCGAATGGTTGGCTACGTCATCGGTGGAGTTGGTGCCGCCATGACGGCTTTCTGCGCTCTCTTCATCTCTTTGTACTGCACAAGAAGGTAAAAAAAAAATCTTAAAACGTTAACATGAGAGCTTGCAAGGCCGTAACTACCATTGAGGCAAGTGAGGCAAATGCCTCACTAAAATTTTAGAGTTTTCTGAAAAGTGAAAAAGTTTTACTCTGAACTTTAATTAATTATGTGTGTCTTTGTACTTAATTGATACTTTTAACTTACGTTTCAATTTCTGTAAATCGACCATCTCACTAAGTGCTTCATTATCGTTTAGAACGCATGTAAAATATTTCAAAACGTGAAACCTTCAAAGATTAAGTCTGAAATTTACTAAAACCCAGGTTTTGGGAACTTCCCCCTTTCCCTGAGAACCCCCATCCAGACACTACTCTAGACCCGCTTAGGACTCGGATGGCCTCCATATCCCTTGCCTCACTAAAAATTTGTGGTCCTGCAATGTAGCAATTATTTATAACAACCAGTAATGGTAGATTTGCATTTTAATGATGGAAAAAAAATATCACCAAAGTCGCAGTATACCAATCACTATCAAAAATTGTCATCTAACTGTCACTCAAATTTCCTTTTCCATGCAATGCTTATCATTAGAAGTTATATAGCTTTCCTTTCAATTATTTGTTTGAACTTTTGTAGTTTATTCATTAAATAATTGTCATTACAATCCTGTATCTCAAAATGCAGATGAACCAGTTTCTTTTCTCTCTGTGACTCATAAAATGTGTTCACATCGATAAGTTCATGGTAAAAGTAGTGAATTATTTATGATAAATATATTCCTTACTTAAGTGAGAGTTCTCAATATCAATGATTATTTGAAAGTGTTTACTTAAAAGGGTTACAATTTCGAGAAAGAAAGAAAAAAATTTAAATGCTGAAATAATAGGATTTTTCATTTTTTTAACTTCACGATGCTAATTGCAGCCCGGAGGACCGGGCTGCTCTATACATATAAGTTTAAGTGTTGGTATATGGGGATTGAGGTGGGAGAAGTTATTCAGAATTAAAGGTTTTCTAAACATTAAAAAGATTGTTAATCAGAATGTTCTTTCCCTTTATAAATTACGAGATACACAATATATTTACTTCCATAAAGTGAATCTGTAAAAATATATATGTTTTTCATATTTAATATATAAAGTTGCTTATCATTTACTATCGAAAAAACGACAGGTCCCTTTATTTAGAACATCGAATTTTACTTATCGCATAAAAACGTAAAAATGTACTTTACACAGTTCGTGTTTTATATTCTTTAAGTGAAAGATATTTTTGAAAATAGGTGATGCATGTGTCTGGTTTCAAATTATATTTTATGCAGCCAACATTTACTTGAGGAATTGATAAAGTTTAAAAGGGTATCGTTTTTGTTCGATTTTCATCCGACTATAAGTTTTCAAAATATTCTCGTTTTCATTTCATAGAAGGAAGAGAGAAATAGAAAGGAAAGCGTCACAAAGGTCAGAGGTCGATCTTGCCGACTCATCATCAAGTATAGAGGACACGCCTGTTTACAGGGTACCTTCTGCTGAGGACCACGTGCATCCATCAGCGCGTGCCAATACAGGTCACGTGAATCAAGCTTATGATGGAAATGACGCGTCCTGTGACAAACTCAGCGTGAGGTCTGGGTCGTTTGAGAATATCCACCTGCAAGACGATGACAATTATCTGTCATTGGATGAGATAGAAGAGGCGAGAAAAAGGGAACGTGGAGACGATGCTTCTCCTTCCTTAGAGTTGAGGATCGACTCTAAGTATTGTCAAAGTCGAGAGGTTGTCAGACGATCTCATTATATTGAGGGGTCTGTCTATGATAACAATATTTAGATCTAAGAAAATCCGAAAACTGATGATTTTACATTTGTTTTTAAATGTAAATAAATATATACATATATAAACACATTCTACAGTTGATTTTTTTTTTAATAAAGAATAGAAATCAGATTATATACACAACTTTGAATTTACAAAGCAGTTTGAAATGACATTTTAATCGAGTATAAGAATTACATTTTTTTTCCCCTGAGAACATATAAACACACAGTTTATTGGGGTTTTATAACAGACAAACGTTTTGACTTCACCGAACTTCTGTCAGTGAAAATTGCATTTGTGGTCATGTGAAGTTCTCTTTCACAGAACAGAATTTTAAATCTTCAAAGATTGATAAAACCCCACATACTTAGCAAGATAAGGTACCATATAAATTTGATCCCTGACTTATAATGCAAATTCAACTCGTAGATTAATTGTTGGTAAACAACAGAAATAGAAGTAGCCTCAATCTTCATACCCTGACAAAAAGGTCAAAGCTTTTGCAAAGATGGCAACAATGTACCAAGACCAACTCAATGATGGAAGAGCCATCACGTTGAAACAGTGTTCAGAAATCTGTTATGGCTCTACAATCTGGACCTAACTAGTTTAGAAGTCGATTATGTTTACTGATTGATCAGCAACAATCGTTTTTCACAAGAAGTAAAGGAAAAAGATCAAATCTCAGTGTAATTTGGTATTCTCAGGTTTTTATAATCGGTCATATTCTTTGTTGTTATCCTATCTTTCAAAGATATTATAAATTTATCGTTTAGATGATTCTTTTTTAAAATTTGTGTTCTGACCAAGGAAATGAGAAGTCTGCTGAAATAAACACTTTTTAACACCATGAAGGTTTGGCCTGCACTGAGCCACATTCAATCAAAATTAATCAAATCTGTGATGAAGCGTTTCATGATTTCGGGACATCGTTAATTCACTCAGAACTTAAGCAAGATCCTTATATTATTGCGAGTTGTTCGAAGACATGAAGTTCGCTGTCCGATGGGTCATTTTCTTTGAGAGTTTTATTTTATATAGCCATCTAACAGGTGAGAATATCAGATGTATGTTAAGGTCTGACGACACGTTGCTCGAATATCTGTTTTGTATATATTCGTTATATACAACAAATTAATCATAATTATCATTATCTTGTGATTTTTAAACTTATTTCAAAATGTCTTAGTAGATAAAGATACCAAAAATTATGATACTGGCAATGCTAGTGATTTCCAATAGGATTATATAGTAAATAATTCTGGTATCTTGCACAAATGCCTAGTAAGGTATCTTAATCTGTCAATTTTTGTGAGGAAATTTGTTAAAGTAGCAATACTCCAATGACAAATTCTCGGGAAAAATTATATATTATTAAGGAACGTGTCGTTTGACATTCAATATTACCAAAAAACTGTACAGTTGCTACAGTAAATTGCTTTATTTTTTAATACCAATAACTGAGTCTTTCTTTTATGTTGACAAGAGAATCTTCACTATATAAACTTTGTTTCTACTCTTCTTAAAGTACTTGTGCATGTATCGTCATTATAATTTCTTTATATTTGCCGTTTCAGAAGCTGTAACGAAATACGCCTGCGTGAGCTACAGTGCTGGGTTAGGTGGAGGAGTGAACGCCGGTTATGGCGGTATCGGTGTTGGAGGCTTGGATTTTGACACCATAAACAGTGCAGAAATATCTGCTTCCTCGGAGGAAATAGGTATGGGCTTGGGTGGATATGGAACAGTCCAGCATGGATTAGCTCCAGGCGTACCTGCTCCAGGTGTTCCTGTTCAAAATTTGTCCCCCGGCATCTCTCCGCTTGCAGCATCGTCTGCGGCAGGAGGTCTCTCAGCACAAAACACGGCCGGGGGAACAGCTTCCGATCTACCAAACACTGCAGCTAGTCTTGGAGGAGCTTCCCATATCACAGGACAAGGTTCTAATGTCGCCGGTACCCCAGAACAAATGCCATTTCAAAAACTAGCACCTGGACATCCAGGCATTTTCTTGACCGGAAGTCTTTCATGTGTAGACCGTCCAGGGACAACCATTTTGATTACAAAACTGGTGTATGGCAATGGTGGGATTTACACCTGTTCTGCCCCTGATCAAGACTGTGACGTCATAGACTATAAGGACTCTGAAATCACTCCATTCTGTGATGGCCAGATTAAGTGTGTTGTTAGGACCACAGGAAAATTACTACCCACGTGTCAAACGACCAGCAATTTTGTTCACGTGGAGTACGAATGTATTACTGGTAAATACTTGATACTAGTAATTGGGAAAACGAATTTCAAAGGTTTTTCAAATACTTTTAAGTAATAATACTTAGTATCAATGTTAATTAACAAAAATAGTGAAATGTATATTAAACCGTCTTTTTAAATGTCAGGTATGATTTGATTTCTTTATAGCGTGGTCCTCCTTTGATATTTGCAATGATATAAAGACTGTTGTTCAGCAACCGGAAGTATTCATCATGTCACCAAGCTTTTTCCAGTCTGAATCCCCTCCATCCAAATTGTGTGAATGCATTTTGAAAGGTCGTTATGACAACCGCATAATGGCGCAGTATGTTCATACAGATATACACGAGGGAAACAACCACTCGTGCCCGGAGAGTTTTGTCCTCTTTGAGAATAAACTAAGCCCCAATCAGACGGAATCGGAGAAAAAAATCGAAGTTTGCGGGAGAAGATCCCTCAACAACTACATGTACAAAGGAGATCTAAGAATCACTTTTAAGGATGTTGATTCTGGAAAAAGAAGTGGATTTGTTTCAAAGTTACTTGGTAAGAACTGCTAGATTTTCAAAAAAGTTTTTTAAAATCATTAAAATAACATATTTGACTGATCAGTAGATTAAAATATACATTTTATAAATTGAATTTCCGCTGATTACTTCAAAGTTATTTCGTTTGACAGTACCGCCTGTTGGGATCGGGGTTCAAAATGAGATAGCAATGGAGTGTGGCCCTGTCCGAATGCCTGGTGATCCAACCCCTTCACCTAATAGTATAAATAGGAATTTTGGAAGATTGCCTGGTCCATTTGGCCCATTTGCTCCAATGGGGGCTTTGAATTCCCAGTTTCAGCAGTCACCAAGAATTCCAGCCCCTCCTGTCTTTGAGGGTATGCAGCAAACAATGCAGCCAAATAACTGGGGTATGCCACTACCGGGAATGAATCCTGGGCCAAAGAATTGGATGGGACCTACAAATTGGGTAGTTCCCTCGTTTCCTCGATTTTCTGCTGGCCCGCAGAACTTGCAGTTTTCCTCCAGCACAAGCAGTCCTCCACCAGCTTGGTCAAGAAATCAGAATCAACCCTCTCATCATGGGAGAAGGAATGGACACCAGGTTCATTTCATGGGAGGAAACAGGAGAACAACGGCGGCTCCCAAAAATTTGAGCCCTTATGGAATAGCAATTAATAACAACAGGAGAAATCCACCAACAAGGTCAAGGTTAAGGAGCAAAGATGCTATTACAAAAAATGACGAAGCAGGTAAAAGTTCCATAGATCATAAACTTACGGTAGATGTACCTTCTCCGCGTGGGATTAATTTCCACTACATGTGTATGTGAGCGGTCATAATTTCAGCGTTGAAATTCATCAATGGCATATAATAACAATTCAAGAAATCCGAGAAATTTTCTACTCGCGAAGTAAACTGAAATTGTAATTCCACGAATTATGACCCCGTAGAAAAATATATTTTTTTAGATATAAATCATACGGAAGCCCGTTGAGGCCAATTCAGAGAAAGAAATATATTTTATTGCGTTTAAACGCAATAATTATTGCGTTTAATCGCAAAACATTGCGTTTAATCGCAATAATCATTGCGTTTAAACGCAAAAGATTGCGTTTAATCGCAATGTATATTGCGTTTAAACGCAAAACACTGCGTTTAATCGCAAAAGATTGCGATTAAACGCAATCTTTTGCGTTTAAACGCAATACTTTTGCGATTAAACGCAATAATTTTTGCGTTTAATTGCAATGATATTTTTGCGTTTAAACGCAATAATTTTTGCGTTTAAACGCAATACTTTTGCGATTAAATGCAATAATTTTTTCGTTTAAACGCAATAATCTTTGCGTTCAAAGGCAATAATCTTTGTGTTTAAAGACAGTCATTTGTATCAAACCTTGCAGAGTACAATGGACCCACGCATACTTATATCTTTTATTTCTTTCTCTTTCTATTTATTAGGAAATTGTGTGTTGTCTTTATAGAATCAGATTTCTCCGAGCAAACACTCTCTGAAAGGTAAATCACTAATAAGAATTTATAGAGGAGAAAAAAAATGTCGGGTTGTAAAAACAAAGGAATCCTAAGAACGAGACATGTCTTAAGCTTATTCTCTACATTTTTAATGAAGTTTCGGTCAGTTGTTCTGCTAAACAAAACCTGTCCCATACGTTGCAGTCACAAGTTTAAATCATGTATAAAGGGATTTTTGGAAAGGACTGAGGAAATGTTAGAATTACGTACAACATGATGAAGTATTTAGACTTCAATGTACATTCATAACCCTTCCTATGGTTGCATACAGTAAACACAAGAACATATGTGATGGATTTATATGAGAACAAAATCAAAATCAAATGAAAACAGATTGATCGATGTGTACTACATGTATCAAATTGACAAGTGCTATTAATACCACTGAAACTTTCTCTATAAGTTGTGATACACTTAAGCAATTGATCAGATACTTCATTAAGAGTTTTGGATTCTAATACATTTAAGACATTCAGGTTGTTAGGATGCCATTGTTTTATTACAATTTTCAAAAACTGGAAAATTTTGCAAAAAGACACAGAACAAATCGGATCTTCTTAAAGTTGAAGTGTCGGGTCCTAGTACATGTAATTACAAGCTTTGACTAATTCATGTTTGATTTTGAAACTACAGTATCATTGTGTTTAAATGCAAAACAAATCCTTATAAGGAAGGATTATTGCGTTTAAACGCAAAGATTATTGCGTTTAATCGCAAAATTATTGTATTTAATCGCAATACTATTGCGTTTAATCGTAATACTATTGCGTTTAATCGCAAAAGTATTGCGTTTAATCGCAAAAATTATTGCGTTTAAACGCAAAAATTATTGCGTTTAAACGCAAAAAATATTGCGTTTAAACGCAAAAATATTATTGCGTTTAGACGCAAAAAGTATTGCGTTTAATCGCAAAAGTATTGCGATTAAACGCAAAAGATTGCGTTTAATCGCAATCTTTTGCGTTTAAACGCAAAGTGTTTTGCGTTTAAACGCAATATACATTGCGATTAATCGCAATCTTTTGCGTTTAAACGCAATAATTATTGCGATTAAACGCAATCGTTTGCGTTTAAACGCAATAATTATTGCGTTTAAACGCAATAAAAAATATTTCTTTCTCTGAACTGGCCTCAATGGGCTTCCGTAAAATCAAAAGAAAAGAAATACATTTTTAATCTTACAACTTAATCACAAAGATTGAAGTTTTATTGCGAACAAAAGAAGGAAATGTGAGTATAATGAAATCAATGGATGAAAAATTATTAAATGTAAAAATATTCATCAACAATGAGGAGGGAAAATTGATTTCATGAGATTTATTTATTTATTTTTATTTTTTATTTTTTTTTAACAATATTTGATGTTGGCAGTCTGTGCGATGAACACAGATTTATAAATCCATAATAATATATTATTATTTGGAAACAGTAATCAATTTATATTGTAATCTTGATCTTAAAACTGTTTCTGCAGATAACATGGTAGTCTACATCATAGGAGGAGTTGGTGCTATAATGGCCGCCTTGTGTACTCTCTTCATCTCTATTTACTGTACAAGAAGGTAAACTTCAGAAAGTCAGTCCTTAGCAGATATATTAATGTAATGTTTGTTCTGTTCCTTTAAATAAATCCTTCTTGTAATGACACAGTATGCAAATAAATTAAGTTTTGTTTCCTACTAGAACTTTATTTCATTATTTGACAATCATAAATAAAAAAAAAAATTTTTAAAATCTATAACGCATCAGTTATGACAAATAGATGGTATTGTGTGGATAGAAGAAATTATAAATATGTACTGATTATACCTTGTTTCTCTACCTAATTATGGAGCATGTATTTAATATTATGAATAATTTAATAATTGTAAGCCAAAAATGTTAATGCTAGAAGAAATTACTAAAGTATGTACCTGTAAGCTTTATTTTATTTTTTCAAATAGAAGACAGAGAATTTTAGAAAGACGAGCCTCTCAAAGGTCAGAATTGGCCATAGTTAACACACCCAACTGTAAGGAGGCATCAGAAACTTACAACGTAACGGCTCCTGACGATGAATCGCATACGTCACAGTGCATCAATAATGATCTCGTGAATAAAGCATTTGACGAAACCGAGATAACGTCTTGTGGAGAGAACGGCATCTTAGCAAAGTCTTTTGAAGTGGACCGTCTTGAAGAAGATGATAACTATCAGTCGCTGGAAGAAGTAGAAGAGGGTAGACTGACAGAGGATGATGTTCCGTCGTTAGAGGTGAAGATTGACCCTATTGACCCTGCGCACTGTGAAGGTCAGGATAAGGAGGAATCAGATGATCAGTCCAAGGATGATGTTTATGATAACAATGTATAGATTACACGCCAATGAATTAACTGTTTACAATTTGTCTTGCTTTAAAGCTTAATAAATATCATTAATTTCCGTTTTCATTCTGGAAAAAAAATCCAAGGTTTAAAATAGCAAACAAAACTTTTGTACAGCATGCTAATAAGGAAATGAAAATAATGTTGACTTTCTCCTTGGGGCCAGATATTTTTAAGTACTAACATGCAGTAAGATAGAGTTTTTATAAGCAAGTTCGTAAAGCATGTTGATATTATTATCATTCACAAGTATTTGATGATGCATGTAAATATTGACAATCAGAGAGATTGTACCATCACCTTTTATAGTTTATTAGAACGACGTGAGATAAGATATTGTGTTACCTTAAACAATCTGTGTTATCAACATGCAAATTGTTATAGCATATCACCAACACAGACCTGACTAAGAAGACTAAGAAGTGTAATATCAAGTCATTCCCACTTAAAAGATAGTGAAGGGGTTTTTTTTCTTTTCTATTGTTAAAAAAATGAACGAGTGAACAAACTTGTCATTTACATTTTGTTCACAGTAACTAAAACGTAATACATATGTTTTAAAATATATTGTAATCACACACATACAACCCGATTTTATAAGGAAAAAAGACCTGATATAAAACATGTGTCTTTACAACGTCTCAAATCACACAAGGTCACACTTGTTCCATGTCATTTCTTTACGACATCATAAATAACTGTGTCAAAGTACTTTTAAACGACGATGAAATGTTGTACCATAGTTTTTGTTCGACCCAAGCTCATAATGTTTTCTGCGTTTGTAGAAATACTTTACTCTTTTTTCTGACCTAATTGAGAAAAAAGAATTTTGCACTGGTTGCATGTACTCTGGATATATGCATTGTCAATACGAATATCTACAGTGTGAAAAGAACTTAACATCTTGTTAAAAGACACGAAGCTATCTTTTATCTTTTACATGTATAAATAGTGAATTAACTCTCTCCAAACTGAAAACATGACTTCTCACACGTGTCAAAGAATTCGGGATCGAAAATAATTTAGAGTTTTCAGCTTTGTGGATATTTGAAGGAAAAAAAACACGTCAGCTTAAGGTATTCAATGTATAATGAAGGGACATTCAGCAATTTTGAATCATTTTAACTAGGTAAATATGCATTGCTAAATAACAATGAAAGTGAAATTTTTGCACCTTAAAAATTTTTGAAGAGTTATATGCCCTTGATTAATAGAAGAAAATTTTTATTTTTTTTTTTCAATATATCTATGGTAAATGATTCATTTTATTCCATATTTTTGATAAAGAGAGAGGTTATGCATATTTTCACAAAGAGATTTATATAAAGTTCAAATTACTTCTTACAATATCTTAATAACACATGCGCTATCCAAAGACTTCAATGTAAATTCAAGATGCTCCTTTTATAAATTCCTTTGATGGAATTTTTTTATTTGACGACACCTTCAAAATGCTACCTTGATTAAAAATATCAAACCATTCATTTATTATATACAAAATATGGTTGTTATACATGCATTGAATACCATAAAATTGCCACCTCGCCACCAGGTTCAACAGAATCATTGCACCCCGGAGGACCGGGCTGCTCTATACATATAAGTTTAAGTGTTGGTATATGGGGATTGAGGTGGGAGAAGTTATTCAGAATTAAAGGTTTTCTAAACATTAAAAAGATTGTTAATCAGAATGTCCTTTCCCTTTATAAATTACGAGATACACAATATATTTACTTCCATAAAGTGAATCTGTAAAAATATTATGCTTTTCATATTTAATATATAAAGTTGCTTATCATTTTCTATCGAAAAAAACGACAGGTCCCTTTTTTTAGAACATCGAATTTTACTTATCGCATAAAAACGTAAAAATGTACTTTACACAGTTCGTGTTTTATATTCTTAAAGTGAAAGACATTTTTGAAAATAGGTGATGCATGTGTCTGGTTTCAAATTATATTTTATGCAGCCAACATTTACCTGAGGAATTGATAAAGTTTAAAAGGGTATCGTTTTTGTTCGATTTTCATCCAACTATAAGTTTTCAAAATATTCTCGACTATCTTCTCCATCATTTAGACGCATGTCTTTTTCACACATATCGAAGCGGTTTGATGGTCAAGACTCATTTCCATTGTTTACTTTAATTTAATTGATGGTTACATCAATGTTTTCTTGTTGCTTATTGAAATAAATGCAAACATACATGCTTATCAAAACATACATCAGCATGACACGAATGATCCCGCCTACATTTTTTTTTAATTGAACGTTGAAATTGAGAGACTGAGAACGTGAAAATAGCCAGGTGTGGAATTGAAACAAAAATAGAATATCATATTGCTGCTTTTGTTTTCTTGAATCAGTTTTCAAACTATGATCTACAAGCACAGCACATAAAAAGTCCAGAAAACATAGAATTATTAAACATTTTTAGATACAAGGGGACTGTCTTTCCTGAAAATTTATCAATCGACAAGATCTGTAAGTAATCAGTATGAAAAGTCATTGCAAAAGACACCATATCGACAAGCAGGTTAAAAAAATGTGTGGAAAACAGTAAGTAATTAAAAATTTTCCAAACCAAAAGACACAAACTTTCCTGAAAATGGGTCAATCAATATGAAACTAACTCATCAATTTCAAAAGACATACCGGAAATCAGCTCATTATTTATAGCTATGGCAAAGAAATCAGGAAAAACCATAGTGAAAAATTGGAATTTTTTCCAAGTCCAAAGACAAAAACTTTTGTGAAATTGGTCATTCAACATGAAACTTGAACTTTATCTGTAAACTTTATATAATTAATATAACCATAAATCAACTCATTCAATTCTGGGAATCATTATCACCAGTCTAACAGTCATCAATGTAAGATACATAGATCCTCTACAAATGCAAAGCACAAGTAAAAATGTCAAAAGATACTGTCTCATGAGTGAAAAAAAATTCATATTCAACAAAAAATAATTTTATAATAATATTTTCTAATATTACATTTTCTCTTATTTTCCTTTTGCCTCTGTCTTTTTGTTTGTTTGCTTAACATCCCTTCGAGAATTTTTCGCTCATATTGAGATGACACCACTTGCCGTTGGAGGGCTGCGAATTTAGACCTGTACGTGCACTCGGCACTTAAGGACATACGCAACGTAGTTTGAACTTTATTGTCTTTTTCCCTGGAGTTGAAGAGTTCCAATACTTATAGGAACTGTGTGCTACATTTTAATGTCTATATATGGTGCTGTACACTTCTTCTAAAACAAGTCTGGATAAACAAAACATTTAGAATATATGTTTAGTATTTTTTCTTTGAATTATACAAGAATTTTCATCAATTGATATCTTTTCAAAAACCCTGGTAATGCATGCTGATTTTTGTCTACGGATATCTGATGGCAAGTTATAATCTTAAATTAAGAATATCTTGGAAAATTATCAGTAGGTAAGGTCCCTGCGTATGTCCTTAAGGCCTTTGAGCAGTAAGGGCTCGTTTTCGTGCCTGCAGCTACTTTGACACTGGGCCACGGTTTATTAGGTCTCATCCGAAGGACCGGCCGGTCTCCACGTCACGCGGTGGGATTCGAACTCACGAAGTAAGGATTAACTTCTTACTCCGCGACTTTAGAACAAATGCTCAAACCACTGCACCAGGCGGGCAGCCTGTCCTTTCATGTTGTAGTCTGTGACGTCCTCGCGTGAAGACTTGAGTATTTCATCAATATGCATCAAATTTGAGATGAAGCATTAAGGATGTACAACACCCCCCCCCCCAAAATGTCGTTTAATTTCCTTTGATTTTGTATATTTTGTACATGACTACTTGTATCTACTATGTGTATGCATAAATCTACAACAACCTACTGTTCCGTGCTCTGTAATTTTACTTTGAGACATGCAGTTCAACGTCCGAGTGGTTGTTTTCTTAGGAAATATATGTTTTAATTTTTTAGCAGGTAAGACTATTTCTAAAGTCAATTCCATGTAAATGTTTTAACTTGGTACAAAAAGTATGCTGATGAAAGCTATCGACTTTATAACATAGTATGCATAGGAATTGCTCGGAAATAACACTGATTAGTACGGGATACAAGTACGTGAATGATGAAAAAGTTACTCTCTCAACAATTAGTCAGAAAAGGGCTTGTATCGCAGAACATTTTTATCGTCCTATGATCCAGAATGCTCTGTCATTTGCAAAATTAATTTGTTTATCTCTTACATTTTCACCAGCTGGTATAGGTGTGAAGGCAAAAATTTCGTTAAAATATGGACCTTGAAGAATCTCAGAACTGGTAACAGACAGAAAAAAAAGCAGCCTCGCCGAAAAGAAATCACGGTCAGACTAACAGAGGAACAGTTAAACCAAAAAGAGTTCTACATCTAGCTGCCACTGAGAGGTCCCTTTCCAACAAAAACAGTTCAAAGTATGTTAAACATAGGTCCAGTTCCGAGTTCAAACTTTGTAAAACAACAGAGGTCCGGTTCGGAAAAAAAGAGTTGAAAGTGAGTCAAATAGAGGTCAAGTTCAAACAAAAGGTGTTCAAACCTTGCCAAACAGAAATCCAACTCTGACGAAAAGAGTTAAAATGCAGACAAACAAAAGTCCAACAAAAGGTGTCCAAATACTCAGAACAGAGGTTCATTTCCGTCAAAAGGTGTTCAAAATTGCAAAACAGAGGTCCAGTGCCGACAAAATAGGGTTGAAAGTCAGTCGAATTGAGGACAAGTTTCCACATATACAGTTCAAAAACAGCGCAGCAGAGATCACGTTTGAAGCATTGGTCTGATATTTGATATTTGAATGTCATGTAGGGTAAGCAGTTAATTTACCATGTACTTTGCCGTGTTGAGTATGAATTTAATAAATCAATCATTTTCTTCGTCTTAATCAGAATCCCGTTTTGCATAGATGTTATACACACATCGTTAAAATATATCTTACATTTAACGTGTTTTGATCAAGTAAGTCTGCTTAAATTGTTTTCCTATACAATAATCAGATCTAGAATAATGAAATATGTAATGAAGCATTTCATGATTGCTGGACATCATAAATTCACTCAAGATTTAAGTAATTTAGACGCCTTCTTTCTATAGCGAGTTGTCCGATGGGTCATTTTCTTTGGGAGTTTTATTTTCTATATTACATATATATATATATATATATATATATACTATATATATGTAACAGGGGAGAATAGCAGCTTTCTGTTAAATGTCACATGATTGAAGAGATATTGCGAAACATTACGATCGCGATAGAAAGTTGCTTTACTTTTTATCTTTATTTTTTCAAATTGAAGCTAACTTAATTTTGACTCAATTTATACATGTACTTGTGTACTTCGTTTTCATTCTTTTTAAAGGGTTGTGAAATTATTTGTCAAAATTGTATGTCATTTGTCTAGACAGATCGATTTATTTAGATGCACTATTTCAGAAGCTGTAAGGAAATACGCTCTTGTGAGATATACAGTGCTGGATTAGGTGGAGGAGTGAACGCCGGGTATAGTTGTATAAGTGGAGGTTTAGATTTTGATGGTACAAACAGCGCAAAGATGTACGCTTCCTCGGAGAAATTAAGTTTAATTTGGACTTGGATGGTCGATTTGTTTTAACAGTGCAAGAAACTAATTTCGTTACAGCCTCGATGTTGATTATTGCTGATTTGAATGCTTCCTTTGCTGATTTAATGCTACATGAAGTTATCCTTCCTTATTTTTATCCTGATGCTACATTTCCTGTTTCAAAACTAGGTCGATGCTATTGGAAGTAGGTGAACAAAATTCAGCATAACAATGTAAAGCATTATATAATATAAAAAAAAATTAATCATTCTATTATTGTATTTTATTTATCATGAAATATTAAACCAGATGTATTGGTAACGATCCTCTAATAAAACTAATGTCCAAATAACTGTATCTCACTTCCATTCTCAATGACCGTGTAGTATAGAGCAGCGCCGCGAGAATTCCATCGGCATCGAAAGCAAGTTTTTAGACTTGCCTAGATAGCCGAACGGTCTAGCGCGCTGTTCCTGTACTGCTAGGAGACAGATTCCGTAGGTCGACAGTTCAACCCCGGGCTGGGGCGGAAGTGGGTATCCTTATAAAAAGTGAATTTCTTTGTGCTTTATATATATATATATATATATATATATATATATATATACCCTATCCGACCCCGACCCCTCCTCCCCCCCCCCCCCAAAAAAAAATACAAGCAATGAATATTTTTTATCTTATAATAAATATTAATAAGAGTGGTCCAAAAAGTGAATTTCTAATAATTTGGACTAAAATTACAAGCAAGGTTGTTAAGATGTGAATTTTAATAAATGAAGACACTCTCTATATAAGATATGCAATCGATGGAGTGGCCAAAGCATCAATTAAAAACCGTATATCGTAATCAAAATTCTATGCATGCGTGTTAAAAAAAACATGTTGTACTGACATGCACATTGCTATTTTGGAAAAAGACTATATATAAATCATAAGTATCTTTATGGTGCTTCAAATCAGTACAAGATCACGCTCGTTCCATGTCATTCCTTTACGATCTATAAATAACTGTGTCGAAGTACTTTTAAAGAACGCTGACATGTACCATAATTCGGTCTGAGGAAAAAAATGGAACCTCATTATATTTTACACGTATTATTACTTTTCTTGCTTTTCTATTTTTCCTGCCTAAATAAAAAAAGGACTCAATATCGGTTGCATCTTCTGTGAATATTTTCCTAATTGTAAATATGAGTATTTATAACATTCTCTACGTTGTCTCTTTCATGTATAAAAGGTCTACTCTCTACATCATGCTTGTGCCCCCTGTATGATAATCTCTGATGCCGGTTTGTTTTTTTTTTTATTTCTTTTGGGTTTTTTTCTTGGTTTTTTTTCTGGTCAAGGAATTTTTGTCGGTAGTCCCCCCTCCCCCAATAAAAACAGCTAAAATTGCTTCCTACGGGCCTGACAGTTTTCAACTTCATGAAAATATTTAAATTATTGTCAATTGTCAACTTATAATATCATTTTGCGACACAGATATTTTTTTTCAAAATGATAATTTATAATTGAATGCGAGCATATTAATCATTAAGTTATTTTTTGAGAGTGCATACAAGTTACATTGAATGCGTAATTTTGTGAGAATATAAATTTAGAATTTCCAAGGTGACAATCATAGCCAAATTTATCATCAACATTCTACAATATACATTTGCAATAATAGTTGTCTTAATGTGAATATTGTTTTTTTATGAAAGTGTGTAAAATTAATACGTCAAAATGACACACATTCTTTCAAGTATAAATATGAAAATTATCTATGCCAGGAAAAAAAAATAGCCAGTCTAAGGTAGATTGCATGTAAGGAGGTTACATTTTTCCTGCTTCTAAATATTTTAAATAGCTTTTTTTATGGAGTTTTAGATAACATTTGTCAAATTTTCTATAAATGCTTTCTCATGTTCTAATTTTTGAATTATTGAATGAATGTTAATTCAAATATTAGGACATGCATGAAAAGTTTAAATTTTTATTTTTTGTGTTTTGCTATGCATGTTCTTTTTTTTTTTTTTTTTTTTTTTTTTTTTTTATAGACACATTTAACTTGTCGAAAGTTCTTTTATTACAATAAAAAGGAAAGGAGGAAACGTTTTAAAAAACAAAAAACATTTTCTTGGTTTCTCTCTCTCTCTCTCTCTCTCTCTCTCTCTCTCTCTCTCTCTCTCTCTCTGTATATATTTATATGAAGTTGTGCATACAGATTTGAATCACAGAATTATAAAATTTACTACACGTTATGGACATAAATAAAAGCGATACATGTGGTGTACGGCTACAATCACCGTTATCAATGGTAAACGTCTATAAATTCATCAAGACGCGTTCCATTGTAGCGACGTATCTTTTAAGCTGATTATCAGTAAATGTACTGACATGAGAGAACGATGAAAACCAGCCGCTTTATACACGGATATTTTGAAATAGTGCCGTCTGTAAATCAATTTGTAATCGGACATTGTTATTAAGGCATTGTAACTCATCCTTAGTGCCAATCTGAAGAGAGCAAACTTAACCATATTGCACCAAGCCTGTCTACCCGACTGGATAGATACAAGGGCTGCAAGGACGAGGCAAATACAAAGGCTGTGGAGTTCTGAATCTTCAATGAGAGCAAATACTGTGGTATGTTTTTGTACTTTCTTATATTTTAATTAGTTAACTTGTAACCTTTTTCGAGAGTTGTTCTGCGTTGTGCATTTTATACTGTTTTTCGCAACTCTGCAACAGAGTATCAATCGCTTCTTTTTCTCCTCAACAGATTATCAGATCATATAATGCCATTCTTTATGTGAATTAGATTATTTATCAAAATCGAAAATTGCAAAAATTGCTCCGATATCGTTTGTATGAAACAAAAATAGACACAGCCACTGGGATTTTATTGTATCTTTTGAAACAGTGTAAATACGCATGATGCTCGCAATAGTAAAATTTTCACTGAAACTAAAAAAAAGAAAAAAAAGAAATACTAGTAGTTGATATTTGTTGCTATTTTACCTCTGAATTTTTTTCTGTATAAAAATATGACGAATATATCTGCTTTTTTTTTCTAAATAGTCCCTACATTGTACCGTGGAATAGTTTTTGAGCTATTTGCCCATGGGGTGAATTTAAAAAAAAATGATTAGACGCATATAATAATTAGCAACCTGCATTAAAAAAAATCAGGCTATGTGAATAAAACTCAGCTCAGTGTCTTTTGATATTGACAAAATGTCTGCCAAATATCTCATTGATATCTCATTGATATCTTGACCTCAGTTGCTAACAGTGTTAATCCCATTTTGTAACATGTCTATATACTTTTTTTATCCTCATATTTTAAGCTAGTTTTACAACATTACTAGGGAATACTTTGTCATATAAAGCCAAGTTTAAACAAATTTATGCTTTTTAACCATGAAGTATTGGACTATATTTCATTACAGCTTGATGTTGCCAGAAATTTATGAATTTTTTTTGTGTTCTGTGGCTTTAAAGCTTACTTCAAACACTGTTTAATAATTATCAATGAACTTCATCTCTCTTTGCTTCAAAATAAATTGCAGAAAATGCTTGATACTTTTGGTCGTTGAAAAAATTATTAAGTCAATTCACAGAATAAGTTTCATCACTTGAAATATACTTTTAACAATTACATATGTTTGTATAAGTACAATAAACATATTTTGAAGTCAAGAAAATAAGACAACATTTCCCTAAGTGGGAAATGACAAACTGCTCTACAAAATTTGAATGAGATAGTCTGTGTCAAAATTTTTTAAACAAAGTTTAATAAAACATACTAGATGTCAGAAATACAAGAAAATAAGGTATAATAGGACCACTTTAAAATCTATTATTTTTAATAAGAAAAATTACTTTATCAAACTTCTTTTCTTTTTTTTTTTTTTTTTTTTTTTTTTTTTTGGCTTTGACTTGAAGAATTGACTAAATTCATGAAAAGTAATTTTTGGGAAATATATTGCATCATATTTCTTTCCCATTAAAACTTTTCAAATCAAAACTGAGACAATATATGTTAAATTACAACCAAAATCCTTTTTTTTCACATATACATGTATATACATAAGAAGAAATTCAATCAAGGTTTAGATCTAATAATTTACATCCCTGACACAAGTCTCAAAGATAAAAAAAAACAAAAACAAAAAAAACTACAATGTCTTTCGATTATGTATATCAGGGAGTCTTTAAGAATGTAGTAATATTTCCTTTTTTCAAACGAATTTTAATTGATAACAAATCTGAAACTTTTTTATGCATTTGTCAATTTCATTGTCATTTTGGAGATTTTAACTAGAATGTATATACAACATGATGTTTTAATCGAAAAATATGCTAAGGTAAGTTGCATTTTTCAAAAAAATTCAATTTGCTGGTCATTATTTTTTATTTCACCCCATGGTGAAATAGTCACTGAACTATTCACCACCAACATTTAATTTCCTTCGCGTCGCCCGCGCGGTGCAGTGGTTAGAGCGTCTGCTCTGGAGTAAGGAATTGATCCTTACGTCATTGGTTCGAATCCCACTGTCGGACGTAGAGACTGTTTCTTCGGATGAGACCGTATAAGCCGAGGTCCCGTGTCGCAGTAGGTACTGGCACGAAAAAGATCCCTCACTGCTCAATGGACCTAAGTGCCGAGTATAGATCAAAATTTGCAGCTCTCCACCGGCAAGTGGTGGCGTCTCCATATGAGTGAAAAATTCTCGAGAGGGACGTTAAACAATAAATAAACAATTTCTTTCGCGTTATATCTCGGAACTCATCTGGTTTTATCCAAAACATGATGTGATACAAGTAAAATCTGCTTCGGTATAATAAAACATTTACTGACCACTCGGACAACAGCAAGTTTATTGTCCCCCTTGACAGCAAATCTTTCCATCGGCTGCTCTTCGGGAAATAGTTGCTTTCTTGGGGGACAATAAACTTGCTATTGTCGTCATAGCTAATAAATTGGTGTATAGAATTGCACGAAAACAATGTAAAGCTGATGCTTGTTTACCATTGTTTGTAGGGAACAGTTGTCCGAAGTTTTCTTTTGTATAAATTTAGAAATTAAAGTTTAGACTTCCCCATGTTAATTGTCTTCACAAATATTTTTCTTTGTAAATTGTCGGTGCGTTAGATTTTGCTTCATCATTGTTAGACAGGTAAAATGCATGTTTTATCACAAAGTTTAATGATCATGTACTTTATGAACTTATGTCCTGTTTTATGTTCTATTTTATGAGTCGATGCTTGTTTTCTCCTTACTATTTCTCTTTCTAAAATATCAAGAGGTTAGCTAGAGAAAAAAAACAATAGTTTACACATAAAGAAAATTTGTTCAATTTAAAACTGGTCTCATGAAGTATGGTTCAATTTTTTTGAATTCTTTATGTCAGGAGTCCGAGAAACACTGGATGCATGATCGTACGAAGTCTACATTGATACTCTCACTCACAATACAGGACTAGGATCCCGAATATGTCTCTTAAAATTCCTTTGCTTGTCATCTTTGTCTGCGGTGCCTGGCAATGCCGGGCATATCCATCTGGGGCACCCGGGTGTAAACCAAACAGCTTACCGGTATCTGAGTACGATTTCATTCCATCTCACGGAAGTACTGTAGACGACCAGAACCTCCCGTATTATGTAAATGCAACAAATTCTGGAAAAGAGTGGACAGGTTTGACATTTTTATTTGCCTATTTAATTTTAATGTTACATGTAGATATAATGTATGATATAAATATTTCATTTTAATTGAAAATAATAATAAAAAAAAGAATTAAAAATTGAATAGATGTATAAAATTACATGATTTAAGATTGATCATTGTTTGTTATCATCAACTTCTTCATGTATGTGTTTCTTTTACTCCAAATTTTTTTTTTTTTTTTTTTAGTTTTTTTTATTTCCTTTTAATAAAATCCTCTATGATTAAATGAAATAAATAAAATATGCAATTCTATTTTGTGTCACACAGTGGTGATCTGGGCTGAAAATAGTTATTTTAAAGGACTTCTCTTACGTGTCATACCACTGAATTCCTCTAATACAGTGACAGGAACTTACGTCACAATGCCTTCTGATACCAGAAACTGTTCCGATTCTGTAAGTGTCTCTAAAATGTTTTCAAGGTAACTTTTCCTTTTGTGCGAGATAATTTGTTTTTTAGCGAACATTAACTTAAGGGAAACTTAATGGAATCTTAAACATTTAACTGTTTGTAATGTAGAATCCACTTTTAACACAAACATTTGATCCGCAATGACTTAGTATCTCCGTGAAGTCTGTTAAACAATACGATATCCAGTAGGTAGAATTCTCCAAAACAAGATATAAAAACTCAAATTCGCTGTCCATTCTAAGTAGTAGATCGGTGATATTGTACTTTTTAGTCATGAGCATCATGCTAATGATTTGCAATTAACTTATATCCATTTAGAGTGATCACATACAAGCTTTTCATTTATTTCCCATATACATGTACATGTAACTTGAAAAAGAGTCCAAGGATTTGACGAAAATGGTCAAATCTGTATGAATATTCATAAGGTAAATTCAAAACAAAGATCACTCAATATTTTATTTTTCATATATAAGAAATATTTACTGAGGTTCCTGGTAAAATTTATTTCCAGCAAAGTAAATGAAAATACTTAGAGAAAATGTTTTTTGACAAGAAAAACCGGCGCAAGTTATAATTTTAATTCATTCATTTGACATGAAGACAACCAAATGAAACTCTTTGGAAATAAAGATAAATATTATATTCAATTATATATAAAAAAAAAAAAAAAAATCATCTCTCATGAGGTAAGAAATAATTGAAAAGTATTAGGGAAAAAGATTTCTATTTTAATCTGTCCTTGAATGTGCATGAAACGAGTTTCAAAGACAAGTTATAGTGAAGTACAGTAAAAGCAACATCTAAATTAGATTTTATTTTGTTAATTATTTTATTATTTTCATTTTAAAACCAATCAATTTTCTTAAGGATGCCACACACACTAATGCTGATACTAACCACACGTCATTGATGTTTGTATGGAGACAGAGTGATGCCATGACAGGAGATGTTTATTTCAAGTAATGATATACCGCTATTATCTTATAATCAATAACATCTATAAGGGATATCTGCATTCTTTTTAGAATTATTTAGTATAATAAATAATGTAATCTGAATAGATAAAAGTCGTAGTATTCTACAGAAAGTTTTTTTTTTCTTTTTATAGTTTTTTAATCAATTTCAATCATAAACAAGGTCATGTTTACAAATGGAACGTGCTTTATTTCAGAGCTACTATTGTGCACACTAAATCTACAAATTATAAAATAACAGCTTCGTCAGTACCAAATCCGGGAACTACAGTCACACCTTCAGCCTCAACACAGACAGCGATAACAATGGTATATTCATTAGAATTGCTAGCATTTTCTCTCGTAAACATGATGGAATTTATTCTGGAAGACCTCTATTCTAAGAGAAAATGCCGACATAAAATATTCCATTCTTTTTTCATTATTTCAAACAGTAAATATTTCCAATTTTTGATTGGTAACTATATTTTCCTCATTAAAAAATCTTTGTTTTGATCAGAGATTTTCTAAAGAGGAGAGCAAGTATATTAGATTTGAAGTATATTATTGATTTGAAAATTTTAAGAATAGTTTTGACAAAATTTGGACTGTTGATTTCAATTATGATTAAAGTTTTTTTTTTTTTTTTTTTTTTTTTTTTTTTTTTTTTTTTTTTCAAAATAAAAATCCATAAATCTTTATTTATGAAAGAGGAATTTCAGTATTTCTCACGGGTTTATAGATTTTGATGATTTTGGTACGAAATGCATACCTAAATCATTTTTATAAATTCTTTAATTAAAACGCGATTCTGGTAAAATAAACTCCAATACATTTTGAAAATGTATATCATTACGATACCCAAACTCACGTCATGATTTCTGTCCGCAGTCATGCATTACAATACCCCTACTTATTCCATTTCTGTCCGCAGTCATTACAATACTCTCTACTTATTCCATTCGGCGTCTCCATATGAGTGAAAAATTCTCGAGAGGGACGTTAAACAACATACAAACAAACAAACAAAACTTATTCCATGATTTCTATCTGCAGTCATTACGATACCCCTCCTTATTCCATGATTTCAGTCTACTGCTCCTCAATCCGGCATATCCCCTGATCCAGAGTGTGGGAGTACCAAAGGTTGTCTATCAAGCTGCAGTGGAGGGGCGTGTTCTTACCTCATCACGTGGCAAAAGCGAGGGGATTTAGTGAGATTTGAATTAATGATCATGTCATCTGAAAACAGATATCAAGCCATTGGATTTTCTAGTGATAATAAAATGGTTAGTTTGTCTCAAAAATGATCCATAAAACCAGAAAATCTTTAACATTTCAATTGACGCTTTGTCTTTATTTTATAAATCTTTTAGCCCGTGGTTTGAATTTCAGGTGCTTTACTTCTGGTAATCGTAATAATTTATATACTTTTGTTAAGGGCGGCGATAGCGTGATGGTGTGTAAATCATACGGCGGAACAGTGACGTTTGAATTAGGACATACTGTTGGTACAACATACTCCAACTTACCAAGTGTTTGTATTAAACATTCTTATGAACTTTATTGCTTTATTGTACAAGTAATAAGTTCTAACATAATTATATACGTTTGGTATTCTCATATACATGTACATGTATATTGATAAAAACCACTTTAGAAGAATTTAATTTCCTATTTGACTGACTGATTAACCCCTGAAACTTTATAGGAACGTAATGCTTATTAACAAGAAAGACAGTAATTTTAAATGTAAAGATATCAACTTGATTTTTAAATGGGGGAGAGAGAAAGAAATAGAAAACCCTGTCTGGTTAAAGCTTCATTTTTGAATGGTTATTAATAATATAGTAGACGTTGACAGTCATTCCAGAAATGGTTGCTTTGTTTCATCGGAAATTCTGAATTAAAATTTGAACAATAAAATGCTTTCTTTGGTTGTTAGTACGTGAATTAATGTCGCAGCTGTTGCAGAATACATAACCCACGTAAGCGGGTTATGTGAATTTTTTTTCTGCAATAGCTGCGACGTTAATTCCCGTACTAACAAAGAAAGAAAGACATCTTATTGTTTATATTTATATCTTTTCAAAAAAACATTCAAAGTAAGCCGTTGCTTACGAAATCTATGCAGGTGGCTTGCTTAGCGTTGTTTATGGACTGATTAACGGGCAATGGTTTTTATAAGAAATAAAGGCAATAATATTCAGTGGATGTAAATATGATGCAAATAAATCCAAAATTGCGAGGCCTTGGAGTTTATTCAAAATTTTCATTAACTTTACAAATTTAATTAAAAAAATATAACATTGCCAAGCTTTACCTTATTTGTATACAATAATAGTTGACAGGGACGGGTGTCAATGTCTTGGAATCCTCGCAAACAGATGGGAGGGTGAGATGTGTCATAGAGCGTACCATAAATAGTACTAACTCCTATGTGTTTAGTTTAACACGAAGCTGGCACCTGTTGAGAGCTATAGGACCTCTGCCAGGTGAGAATTTTGTACAAGTCAGAATAACTAAAGCAAAAAATCTATTAAAAGAAATGTATGAAATATCTAACCACATATTCTGAATCACATAAGATATAAAAAATCAATGCTATATCAAAATTTTGCAATTTAAGAATTTCAAAACTATCTATAAGAATCTAGATTGTTGTAGATAGTTTTGCTTTCTTAAATTAATACAAAACTTTAATGAAGCATCGACACTTGGTGTCCGTGGCCATTGTTAGACTATTCAAACTTTCTGGAAAAGAAGAGCTCCATTAAAATAGAGAAAATTGCAATAAGTATCATAGCTTCAAATGTTTTTTTTTCTTCCCTAGATAATAGTTAATAGCTACAAAAAATCATATTTCATATATTTTTGGGGAGGATCTGTTTGGTGATTTGTTAAACTCCACCCTCAACGTAACAACAAAACAATAGTAATGTTTAAGAATAAAGAATAATTGCTGTGTGGTTTTTCTACTTTTCATAAATAAATCATTGAGATATGAATATAATTCGACCAATACTTTAACTATAAATGATGACATTAATAAATCAATCACGATTGTATCATAGGTGGCGCTGTAACCTATCATAGTACACGCACTGCCAGCAGTTCCCAAGTTGACTTCCTGTCGGCGTCTCTTATCACGGAGGAACAGCCGGATAATCTTATGGTCAAAATACATGGTAATGTTTTCTGGTTAGTTCTAGTTTGTTTTGTTCTTTACTTTTTATGTGATTTTTTATAATAAGATGTCGAGCGAATATCCTCATTAAACCCTCTATATTTACACTCACTTAGGATCCTTCATGATGATTGCCTGGGTGATGTTCTCCAGCATTGGAATAGTAACAGCAAGGTTCTTTAAGGACGGATGGGAGGGCAAGACTCTTATGGGACAAAAAGTGTGGTTCCAGGTGAAGCGATCATGTATTTCAGCAAACCAACAACAGAGGGTTATCGATTTGTTTTGGGTTTTTTTCAATTCCTTTATGCTTACTTTAATATATTCTCTTGATCTAGATTCATCGCACGAGTATGGTTTCTGTATTTCTCTTCACGGTGTCAGCTTTTGTGGTTATATTTGTGGATGTTGGAGAATACAGAGAGGTCGGTATTATAACATTCAGATTAAAGATGACATCATATTTCCAATTACATATATAAGCCTCATGCATGTATGTTTGTATAAGAATCGATTCGTGCAAAACCAACTTCGAATCCTTGAAGAATTTAGTCGTTACAAATCATTAACTGATAAATCTAAAGTTGTTATTTGGTTGACAGGTTGTAGTAGCGGATGACAGAGATTACCTTAAGTATCATCCAATACTGGGCATCGTTGTAACCAGTCTTACAGTCATCAATGTAAGATAAATAGATACTTAACAGATACAAATCTAGGATCTTTGATGAATTGTTGCCTTAAAGAGAACATGAAGATGTTAATTTTTAAAATACGGTACTCTTTTCAGCCAATCATGTCACTCTTTCGATGTGCACCAACAGATAAAAAGCGACCATTATTTAATGTTGCTCACTTCCTTGTGGGAACAGGTGCACATATTCTAGCAGGTACTTGGATTTTGATAGAAAAATGTAAATAAAAACGAAATATAATTGGTGTATAAAGCTTTAATTTGTAACGTACAATATGAGTCAATGCTGTACATGGGGTTAATTCAGAATAATAAAGCTTTTCTTCGTTGTAGGTCGACATACTGCGAAAACCAGCTATACCTAATTACTAACATAAGCTTTGTACAAATGCATATACATGTGTATATATAACCGTGATACCATATTGTTGTGACATTTTATTTCAGCCATCACAGTTTTATTCGGCATGAACATAGATAGATCTAACCTTCCAGTTGAGGCTTCATACGTCATGTATGCTTACATGGCTGTTTTTGTTGTCATAGAGATCACCTTTGAACTTCATAGAGTATGTCAAAAAGGTCTTAATTCTAGTAAGTATATGTAAAATATGCACATCTGATGTTAGGTTTGTGGAAATCTACAGGTTGGAAAATAAGAGTTTAAAATGCCGAAAGATTTAAAGTCTTATGATAATCACTACGAAACTGACATAAAGTTTGGAAACATTTTACGAAATTATGATTCAAGTTTATTCAATTTTTTAACCTATTTTCTCTTTCTGAAGAATCTTAAAATAATCATGACAACAATCGTGGAATTACATGCAATCATCGTTGAATGTCAATCCAATTTGATTTTTTTTATTTTGGGGGATAAGAAAAGACCAAGTTTTGCTCATCATTTAAAATTTTCAGTAATAAAAATTGCAACCCATTCTAGGAATCCATCATCCAGCAGCTTTCAATGCCAAAGCCTTGTGTCCTGTTAAATAAATCTGATATTTTTTGTTTATCGTGGGACTGAAAAGAGGTCAAATGTTTGAAATATATTTCTATGAGATGCTCATTTATTTAGACAACCATGTTGCCATGGAAATGAAAAATTTTGGTGACAAGAGCGAAAAAAGCATTCAGTTTGAAGAAAGTCCGGTATGTATAAAAAGAAAATCCTCCACCATTTGAATGCTGTGAATATTTATTCGATAAGTACATTGTGTAACATGTACATTTTTTTGTGATTAAATCTAACATGTTTTAATCGTGTTCCCTATTACGTTTGAATAAAAAGGATGACGATATAATATTATATTTTATTTCATCTTAGATGATTAAAAAAGAAGTGTTCCTATATTTCCACATGTTGCTGATGGTCGCATTCTGTGTTTCCATGGTGGTCATTTTGATAACATCCTAGGGACCACTTCAACGTGTCGTTTGATTCTAGGAAGCATTGCGACACGTACTTATTGGAGTGACACACAGAGAGGGAGTGATGTTTATGACACCGTAACAGAGAGGGCCCTTCTTCCTATCTTCATACATTACATCTTTTCTTTATAGTGACAACTATTTTTTTCTTTTTTTATACTGATATTGTTTGACGGGTATTTTGTGTTATACAAGAAAACTGTCCTGAAGTTAATACACCATACGAAATATTAACTGTGTACTTTTGTATAAATATTTATATATCATACATGTATATATAAGATCACTGCTGTATGGAACCCTTTCCTAGATTAGCAATCATGGCTAAAGTTTGTGTTTTATTGCATGTATTGGCATTTCAGTGATGGAAAACAGTTAGTCTATAAATACATGTACTTGAATATCAACGTATCGTGTATTGTCATCGACATATTTGATTATTTGATTAATTCCTGCCTTGATTATATGTAGCCACTACTGGGAACCATAGATTTCCTCCCCGTCTGTCCGTCTGTCTGTTTATTCCTCTGTCTGTTAGTTAGACCGTCCCACTTTGTTTTCCACACTTTTTAACAAGTTTTAGATAAGGAGTTTGCTTTTGGTATGTGAGTGTGCCTGGATGAGAAACAGAGCAAGTTTGTAATAATATTTCGAGGAATTACAGCATTTTAAATTTCACAGGGGAACCAGTTCACACTTGGCGGTAGGGGACTAGTATTGTTAATTTATTACTCGAAGAGTCTATTACTTAACCAGTCAGGCAGTTCGGAAAAACAAATTCCGGTATGACTCTAGATTATGTAATTGGAGAGGGAAGGCCTAACCCGATTGAATTGAATTACCTAATAGTTTATGTGTTTTTCATATAGATGTTATAAAATCCTTTTTAGTCTAGGTATCATTAAGTAAGGCAATTATTTAAACTTAGGAAAGGAAACTGCTTATATAATTTTAAAAAAGCACAAATATAAATTAATGGAATGGAATTAAGAATATTAAAGAATGAATTAATATAGCTAAAAAAAAAAACCCAAAACCCTGTCCGCATCCACCAATCAACAAAGGAATCTAAAAATTAAAAAATAACAATAACCCCAATTAATCTCACCTCCGAAAACTAAACTAAGGCAGTTTAGAACTTGGTTATCAATTTCAAGCAGGTATATATATATATATATATATATATATATATATATATATATATATATATATATATATATAAGGGAGTCCATTTGTTTCTTTTTGGCATGTTGTATCATCTTTGGAAAAAAACGAGGGGAGGAGGGGAAGAAAACAAAGACAACTTGCTTAAAATAACTTTGACAAACCAACAAAAGAAAAAAAGAGGGGGGGGGGGGAACTCGAAAATCTTTTGTTGTGTGGACGTGTGTGTGGGGGGGGGGGGGGGTTAAGGTTAAGACGTTAAGACTTCTTTCACAGCAAAATAATATTTATACTTATTCATACACATTTGCCTAGTTTGTCTATGCCAAAAAAAGTGTTGAGCTAGGCAGCTTTTCAACGAACATTTTAAACAGTAAAAGGATGTGTCCCCTCCCCGCCCCGTGAAATTACGACCCTGTACATGTATTTATTAAGGAAATGGAACAAAAATACTAGTACATCTGATTTACACATGAAATAAACATAAAATATAAGTGAAAGTAACGGTTAAGCAGAACATAAACGGTGAGTTTCATAGCTAACCCAGGTTGGTTAAATCCTTATCCAGTCTGGAAGGAATAAAAACCATTTGCTAAGAACATAATCCGCTCAGGTAGAAACATTATCAAGTAACTTTTAAAACCTAAAACTGAACCCTAAACATTCAGTTTGAAACCTTACCAAGTCGGACAGAAATTATGAATAAGGCAAATTAGAAACCTAATCCACTCATGCAGGAACTGCAAACAGTCAGTTTAGAATGTTACTCAGTCAGGCAGAAACATGAACAAGTCAGTGAAGAACCTAACCCAGTCAGGCAGAATCACAAAACAGTCAGTTTAGAACCTAACTCAGTCACATGGAGAAACCTAACCCACATTATCAGTTTAGAACCTAACCCAGTCTGGCAGAAACCTAACCCACTCGGGCAGAATCATAAAAAAGTCAGTTTAGAACCTGACCCACTCAGGCAGAATCATAAAACAGCCAGTTTAGAACCTCAGGCAGAAGCCTAACCCAGTCATGCAGAGTCATAAAACAGCCAGTTTAGAACCTAACCACTCAGGCAGAAATCTTACCCCCTCAGGCAGAGTCATAATACAGTCAGTTTAGAACTTAACCACTCAGGCAGAATCATAAAACAGTCAGTTTAGAATCTAGCCACTCAGACAGAATTATAAAACAGTCAGTATAGAACCTAACCCAGGCAGAAACCTTACCCACTCAGGCAGGAACATAAAACTGTCAGTTTAGAACCTAACCCAGTCAGGCAGACTCATGAAACAGTCAGTTTAGAACCTAACCCAGTCAGGCAGAAACCTAACCCACTCAGGCAGAATTATGAAACAGTCAGTTTAGAACCTAACCACTCAGGCAGAAACCTTACCCACTCAGGCAGAGTCATAATACAGTCAGTTTAGAACCTAACCACTCAGGCAGAATCATAAAACAGTCAGTTTAGAACCTAACCACTCAGGCAGAAACCTTACCCACTTAGGCAGAGTCATAATACATTCAGTTTAGAACCTAACCACTCAGGCAGAATCATAAAACAGTCAGTTTAGAACCTAGCCACTCAGGCAGAAATCTTACCCACTCAGGCAGAGTCATTAAACAGTCAGTTTAGAACCTAACCACTCAGGCAGAATCATAAAACAGTCAGTTTAGAACCTAACCACTCAGGCAGAAACCTTACCCACTCAGGCAGAGTCATAATACAGTCAGTTTAGAACCTAACCACTCAGGCAGAATCATAAAACAGTCAGTTTAGAACCTAGCCACTCAGGCAGAAATCTTACCCACTCAGGCAGAGTCATTAAACAGTCAGTTTAGAACCTAACCACTCAGGCAGAATCATAAAACAGTCAGTTTAGAACCTAACCACTCAGGCAGAAACCTTACCCACTCAGGCAGAGTCATAATACAGTCAGTTTAGAACCTAACCACTCAGGCAGAATCATAAAACAGTCAGTTTAGAACCTAACCACTCAGGCAGAATCATAAAACAGTCAGTTTAGAACCTAACCACTCAGGCAAAAACCTAACCCACTCAGGCAGGAACATGAACAAGTCAGTTTAAAACCTAACCCAGTCAGGCGGAAACCTAACCCAATCAGATAAGTAGTGACTGGAGTATAAATATTAAAATATATAATTGAATAAACAACTGGTTCTTTATATATGCAGCAGTTGGTCTTGTTAAAGCTGAACACAACTCTTAAATAGGCTTAATTAAGCCATATTATTTTTCTTGTTTCCTATGTCAGCACTGGAACCCACACCTGACTAATTTAACCTGGTCATTGTTGGGTGTAGTGCATGTATTTTTTGTTTACATTTTGTTTTATTGAGGGTGCATTTATGTTTATTTTACATTGTTATGCATTGACCAGTGCAACTGATATCGAATATCTTTGGTAATTATTTTTCCTGAAGTGGCAGAGGCACACAGATGTCATTTCTGTTGCACCCAAGTCCATCATAATGACATGAAAGGGATGTCTGTTCAGGTAAACTCTGTAAAGCGAAATACATTGAACTCTGAACAAAGCTGAGGCTTATGTAGCAGCTAGTGAGTGACAATCTTGGATAAAACTAAATATGGTGACAAAGATAATTCTTCCTTTTATGAATGTGTTCAGCTTTAAACTTAATAATCAGATATGTTTTCTGTGCTTTCTACATCTTTATTCTTAAATTCTCCCATATCATTCTTGAGGTGTTGATTTCTCAAAGTTCAGTTTTCATCATTTAAGGACAGGGCAATTATAGACTTACTCTAGCTGTTGTCCAATCCACTCAGTATATTTGTATTTTATATTTCACTTTAAAATCACAATCCAAGTGTATAAAAAATTAAATCACCACCTTTTTCCTTAATTTGAACTGAAAATGACCACAAGAAAATCTACAGAAGTTCATAACTTTATTGCTTTCAATCCGTTTTGTATTCTCTGTGTACATTACTACATCATTCATCAAGTGAATTATAAAGGCCTAAAACAATTAAATTACAGTCAAACTTTGATACCTCGGACTCAACGGAACTGAGAAGAAACTTGGAGGAATTGAGAGACCAATGATGAAATATAAATACAAAAAAGTGATTGAAACTTCCAAATCACTTTGAATTATCCATGGTATTTGAGATATCAGTGTTCAAAATACTGAAGTTCAACTGTACTTAGAGTTCCCTTAATCCCCCAGTCAGGTTCTTAATGAAGCAAAGTATAATCTAACAAACATGTAGTAATGTGACTGAGGTTACATCAAATTCTTCAAATAATAAACAATATAATATTAAAATCTACAGTACAATGTTCTCTGTGTACACTTCTAGATCTTTCATTAGAATGGATTATATAGGCCTAAAAACTGTAGAATTTCGTGTTAAATGCTTCAGCCAATTTCACGAACAAAATTGCCCGTGTGGCACAGTGGTAAGAGCGTCTGCTCTACAGTCACAAAGTAAGGAGTTGATCCTTACGTCATTGGTTCGAATTCCACTGTGGGACGTGGAGACCGGTCCTTCGGATGAGACTGTATAAACCGAGGTCCTGTGATACAGTAGGTGCTGGCACGAAAAAGATCCCTCACTGCTCAATGGCCCTGAGTGCCGAGCATAGGTCAAAATTTGCAGCTCTCCACCAGCAAGTGGTGGCGTCTCCATATGAGTTAAAAATTCTCAAGAAGGACGTTAAACAACAAACAAACAAACAAACGATCAAAGTCTTTATGTACATGAAAATAATTAAATTATGAAAACAGAGCTTCTAAATCTTCTATGAAATATACATGATGTAATACAAGAATTATATCTACAATACAAGAAAGAGAACATGTTAAACATCATTTGTACATGTACATGCAAACACACATACATCTTTAACAATGATATGCTATACTATATACAGTGTTCAGTTTGTTTTACGATGTAAAGCTAATCTCAGCATCTTCTTAAAAATTATTGACAGGCTGGTTTCTTTCAAGCACTGGCACCAAGTGAAAAGAAGATGTTCACAGTAGGATTTAAACATTAATTAGCCCCCAAAAAATGCAGATCAATAAGAGACAAGTATAAATCTAGTACAATAATACTGATTGTGCATCATAACATGATATACATGTCATTGAAGAACAATAAATTGCATAAACACAATGAAAGTAATGAAATTTTTAACTACATTTGA